GACCACATTCTGGGTTCGAACCTTCAAACTAATAAAAATTATGGAAAAAGTTATTAGTTGATGTATATCGCTAATCAATGTTGCTTATGTTGGGTGACGGAAGAGATGATATTACACATCTTCTACTTTATTGTCAACTTGCGATATGGATTTGAGATTACATTTTCTTCATGTTTGGAATTATCTAGGTCATCTCCAAATTCATACTTTCTAATGTTAGAAAGAACGATCATTTGTATCAAGCAACGCTAATCTATAGTCATGCTCTTGTTTTCTTTCGACACACGATATCTTTCTGAATTTCTGTGATTTCAATGAAATGCACGAACTTTCAGAAATTCAAAATCTAATATCTACTACATCATCTTCAGAAATTCAAAATCTAGTATCTACTACATCATCACAATCATCTCACAAAATCCTACATCTTTTCGGCCTCCATGAATATAATCCCATCTCAACAATCACTTCACATTCACCATGGTTGCTGGGTTCCCTAAAAAAAATCTACATTTCTGTTTCCCTTTGTAATTCTCTTCTTTTCTACTGCCCATTTATTTTTTACACATATTTTTGTATCGTTGCAATAATGCACACCATGACAGGTTCTGAATTCTGATTGATTCTAGAAACGCAAATTTCCACCATCTTCCGCCATATTGTTGTCAATAAATGACTTTGGTTTCGGTGCTTTAAAATATGTGGGCGAGGAAGGGAGGGAGGCGGAATGAATTCGATTATATTTAACATTATCATATCTGATTGAAAGAGCAATATTCTTTTAGGACACTACACTGAATTGTATGGGCGTTTCTACTTTGAGGAAATCAAACTAACACATACGGCAGCAGAGTGGGCAGTTGTTGGTTGTGCTGAGCATTTGACGAACAATAGTGTCTCACATGTCTGTCGCTTTCGAATGCCACAATTTATTTTCCTGAATTATACACATATTGTTTACACCTAAAATTATTTTTATTCAATTAAATGCCGCATTAATTAGTCTCGACATTTAATTCGATACCGCGGGAAAAAAACGGTGTCGTTTGGAGTCAAGCGGCGTCGCGGAGAGTCAGTGCGATACCGCGATACAGAAAAATGGTACCGCAAGGAAACTCTGCGGTACCGCGGCACGGGAAACGACACCGCTCACCGAAAAACAAAAGGGGCTGCGCGTTGAGTGTGGGTTATGGAGAATGAGTTTTCTAATTAATTATTATTTTTCCTTTTGGAAGGGGAAAAGCGGCACCACGGAGAGTTAAAACGGTACCGTGGATCTGAAAACGATGCCGCGAGAGCCTTGACAAGCGGTACCGATTAATTAAAAACCACATCGGGTAAGTGATTGGCCCAACAATTCGCCCAACCCAAACGTGCAAAATCGCGGCAATTTAACGTTGGTATTTCTTTTTATTATGTTAGGCGATGTGGTTTAATTCAAAACGGCACCACGAGTATGCCCAACGGTGCCGCTGTACTAGCAAACGACAGTGTTGAAAATAAACGACGCCGCGGGAGGTATCAACGACATCGCGGTATCATAAACGTTATCGTTTGATTAAAAACGATATCGCAGTGGTTAAGAGCTCGGCCAAGGGTGGCCTGCTAGGTCCAACTCCACTGTTATCCCAAAACAACATCGTCATTTTAGCTTTGTTCCACGTGAGATTCACGCAAAATCAAAATCGAGGCGGTTGAGACACGTGGGAGTTCACGACAGAGCAGTTGAGGAAGCGGTTCCACCGAGCGTGAAGACTACGAAGTGGTTTTTCGAATAAAAGCAGTGGAGCAAGGAGAGAGAAGGGGACAACCAAATCAACACAGAAACACATCTGTCAAACTTTACCTTTTTTTCTCTGTAACTCCTTCGCGGAGCTCTCCTTCAAGGAAGGATCTCCATAGTTGTAGTCTTAGTCGTAGTCGCGTAGCTCTCCACAGGAATCTCCATAGGAGTAGCAGTAGCGTAGATTTCTCAAAACTCAAACACCCTCGTTCGAACGTAGTTTGGAGAGGTGCGAACCGTAGTAACGGTCGTTCTTGGTTAGAAGTCAGAGGTGCATCGATCAAATCAACACTGCCCGGCGGTGGATATTTGACGGTCACGTTGATTTCACCATTTAGAGGTGCATCGATCAAACCAACGGCGCCGACATTCGGCGGCGAATATTTGACGGTCGTCTCATCAGCGGTGCATTCGATCAAACGGCACCGCAAGAGTTTCCACCGCGAAACATCAAATCAACATCGCCGGAAACGAATTCGGCACCGGCGGTGGTATTTGGTTTTCCCGAGGAAACACATATATATATTTCATTTTGTATTGAAAAACAAGTTATATAATATTTTAAAAAAGAATGTCGATATTTAAATCTTTTAAAAGAACATATAGAAAAAATGCTTTATAAATGAATAAAAAATATACCAGAAAAAATAATTGAGTCTAAATATTTAGTTTAAAGTCAGCGTCTCAAAATTAAAAAAAATATGAGGTAAATGTTGATATTAATAGAATTCATAGTAAAATGGACCCAAAACAAGTCTGAGTAACAACCGCCCAAACAAATTGAAACACCGGCGGCATATATAAAATCAGTTTGGAATTGGCGAATATATATTTCTAGTAACAACAACCAGTTACCAGCTTCTCCAGTTGGTAACTCGAATAAATATAGACACTCAAGAAAGCGACACTGGCCATTCTTTGCATTTCTTATCTACATACATACACATATATAGGAAAAGGATAAAATATACAACAAACGGCGGAAACTTCTTTTTATAACAAAAAAAATGTTTGTAATATTTATATCAACTAGTTCTTTTGATGAGGGCTATAATAGAGTCAACGAGTTTGACCTAATTGAGACTCAACAAGTTAAGTTGGAACTCATTTATTGAAACTCTAATTCATGTTTTGATTTGAGCACTACACTATTAATGAGCTCACGAACTTTACTTGAATTCGCCTCATCAATAGCTTACAAGTTCAACTCAACCTCAACACATTTATCATTCTAAATTGTCAAACCTGTAAACTAAATTTTAAATATTCTAATATTTATATGACTTATTTAATGTATGTGATACATTTTATGATATTTTTCATTATTAACTAATCTCATATTTATATAATTTATCGGTATCATATTATTTAATTCTGGTGAAACTAGGAATGAAATCTTAAAGGAATCTGCTTCCTAATTCGGTTTTCCTACACAGCATTAGGAGTCATGTTAGCAGGAAATTTTATCAGAAAAGTTGTAAAATTATTTTATTTTAATATTGCTAAGTAAATTATGTGTTCTGTTAAGATTTGATGGTGTTAGTTAAAAGTAGATACTATATGAAAATAATTGATAATAATGAGAAATTGAATGTTCAACAGTTTATTTTATATTTGTACTTTGTTTAATATTTTATATTTATCATTATTATGTTCAGCCTTTTTATTTTTTAGAGGTTGCAACTATTGTGCTCGAGTTACCTATTAGGACTTTATAAATTTTTTGAGAATTAATTATTAACATTGGATTAGTTTAGCTTTGTTGTAATTGTTGTAGCTTCTAACAATTAATTTTGTTGTTGATAATCTATTAAGCTTGTTTGAATCTCAGAGATCACGTAAAATGACTAAAAATCATTTATGATATAATATAAAATCAAATACATTTATTATTTTTTATTTAATTTAATTTACATAAAATCTTTAGTTTATTTCAATTTTGAAATAATTTAAATAAAAGAAAGGAATGTTCTTTAGATAAATAATTCAAAATTGTAAAAATAATTTTTTTATTTCAAAATAAGTTTTTTTGGTGGCGTGGAACACCCTCTCCGGTCACCACTTGAGTGATGCCGGAGTTGAGCCAAACCACGGGGTTGCCTACCTATTTACACGACCGAAGCCGGGGCACTTTACAAACGGGAGTGGCATCTTGATAAACTGCATTATTGTAGGTATTAGTAGGTTAAATTAAATTATATAATTCATCATGGTTGGATACTAAAAATTTACCAAGACATTTGTGATTCTTTGTTAATTATTGATATATTAATACTACTATTTTTTTTATAGTTTCTCCAAATTAAAAAGATGCCATGGAACCCCCTTGTTGAGGGCTAGCTTCGCCATTGCCTCCGAGAACACCCAAAAGACGAAACAATAGCTCGAACTCGTGATTCCGTCATCACAAGCAGAACCCTGCTCCTACCAAGATAGGTTTTCGCAAATCACTATCTCGCGCACCCAAAAAAGCATAGATTCTCCCTCATCAATTACTATACGCCGGCTAGGCAACATTTTTTTCATCTTCTACAGCTCAAATGAAATCCTCGTTTCCTTTCCATTACGTACTTCTCAATACCGCAAATTCATTTCTGTTTGAGTGTTTGTTTGGAACTCCCACAATACAACGTGTTATATGCAGCTCGAGAAAAGACCTGTCTATCATGGGTGGATCAGCACTCTCAATAAATGAGTAACAAACAGACCATTTCTCGTCCAAATCCCCTTTCTATCCCGTCACCAAACCGTCCCAGAAATAAAAAAAGAAAAATAAAGGCTGCCGCCCCTCAATTTCTATCCCGGTCACATAGTCTAGTGGTGAAACCACTAGATCAATTGAGCTCTGGATGTGCGAGATCTTGAGTTCGATTCCCAGTGGCGCCATTTGAGCGTTCCCGGTGGCACTCTTGATATCGGAGGCGAAGCCTCTACGATGGTGCTAGCAAAAAACCCCGATTGGTATGTGGATACCCAAGTGGTTTAGTAGGCCCCGTTGTCGCTCAAACGGCACGTGGGGCTAAGGTTTCCTGATTTATCAAATAAAAAAAATCTTTACACAAAGCCCGGCCCGCAAGTTCCGGGCCCACAACCGTCACCGCAAACATCCAAACCGGAAGCAACAGCATCAGGCAAATTGAATGAAATGACCGTCTCACCCCCCACCTTGACCCCTTCCTTTTCCCTCCTTATAAACGAAGCTTCGCTTTCATTTCGCCTCCACAGCCCACTCAACCCATTCGTCGGAAAACTTAAGCTACAAGTTCTCCCAAAATTCTCTCAAAATGGCCAGAAGCGGCAGCAGCAGCAAGCTCACCAAACTCAAGTCGGTCCTCAAGAAGCTCAACTCCTTCAACGCCAAGCTCAGCCGAGGCGGGAGCTCGATCGCCGCCGCTTCCATCGCCGACGACTCCAACTCCAACTCCACCTCCTCCTCCTACTCCGTCGGCAGCGCCGGGGACCTGCGGCCGGTCTACGTCGGGAAATCGCGGAGGCGGTACCTCCTGAGCCCCGACATTGTGGACCACCCGCTGTTCCGGGAGCTGGCGGAGCGCTCCGACTGCGGCGGCGACAACATAAGCGTGGGGTGCGAGGTCGTGTTGTTCGAGCATTTGCTTTGGATGCTCGAGAACGCCGATCCCCTGCCGGAATCGGTCGACGAGCTCGCCGATTTCTACGCCTGCTGATTATTATACACATCCGATCCCGCTATCTTCGGTTTCATTAATTCGTAGTAGGAGAAAAGTGAAATCAATAAAATCCATGATGCCGGCGTACGCCGGAAACAGAAAGGTGATCGAGGAGAGCGTGATCCGGTGCGGTCATCTCTATTTATGTACAGAGGTGGCGGGGAAGAGCGGTAAATCGACGGTAATAAGTTGCGGTGGGTTTGATCAGCTGGCCATCTAGAGAGAGAGAGATTGAAAAAAAAGAAAAGGGAAAATAAAACCAACATTGAGGAAAGTAGATTAGAGAGAGAAGTTAGGGAGAGAGGGGAGGGATTGGTGTCGAACCGTGCGGATATTGCGGGTTAGAGCAGATCAATTACCAGCTAATCACACTCTCTTTTCAGGTCAGGTCGGGTTGAGTCGGGTCTAAATTTCCAGTCCGGCCCGATCGGATGGAATTTGAGAACACACTTTGTAATGTATATTTGCATTCTTAATTAATCAAAGAAATCCAATATTACCTTTCGTGGTTTTGATGGGTCGTTTATTTAGTGATAAAAACATGCTATTTTATGTATAGTTCTTCTATTTTTCAGTCGTGACAATTGTTCTTGATTGATTAGCACCTTATAACGGATAATTCTCATTGTATATTTTATCCTTCTTAAAATGCCTATGACAGACAGAAGTGCATCCAACATTAATGTTTATTTTATTTAATTTTTATATTAATTATACTCGGTAAATCAACCATATCCTCTTCTAAGATCATGAATTCTTCATACATTTCGCACAAGTCAACAACTCATTTTGTAGTTTGTTGACTTATCGTTCACTTCATTTGATGCTTCTTCTTTGACGAAAGTGAGTAAATAAGCATATGGGAAATGTAGTTAACGAGAGCAAAACCTAAAAAAAATTAGGTACGTAATCAAATGATGGATTAACAATTTTTTATGCGAAATTCGCCTTACAGACATCAATTGTAGCATAATATTTCATCCCCAGTTTCTCACTGAGACCAACACAAAAATGGGAACACTTGTAATTAAATTGGGTCATTCAAATTTCACTGTTAGTTACAAGTTGTAACAGATAACACTGAACAAATGATACCATTTAAAATGTGTTGTACATACATCATTGTATCGATAACCTCAATTTTCATGCTTGCCGGCCATCTGTAGATTGGAAAAGTATTCACAAATATATTGTTAATTTATAAGATCATGCAGTATTTTTTTAGGTAGTCAATCAAGTGAGTAACTTTCCATAAACCCTTAATTATCAGGATGAGAGGGACGTCAGCAAACTAACCACTCCCTCCATATAGTGCTGTCCAATCTACCAAGAGCACAAGGACTATATCCATTGAATAGGGTAATTGAAGCTTAAATAAAGACACTAATTATCTGTATCGTTTTGTAATGACACTTATTTATTTATATTATTAAGACTTAAGAGCACCAGATAACAACAATCATGTTCACAATTAGATTTATATTATGCTAGCTGGGTCAACAAAAGAAAAATCGTCAGAGACAGAATTTTTAGGGTGGAACCGCAAATCTATTATTATTTAATTAAATTATTATAGGCAGAAAGCACGGATTTTATTTTGGCAGCAAATATTCCTTTCATTAATATATTATTTTTGTTTCGGCCCGGTCCATTTCTTCTTTAATTTAATTGAAGATTGGGGGAGATTATTATTATCTATCTACACAATATATTATGCACTTTACTCTATGTCATTGTTGCCACCTTGCACTTTGATTGGTTCTCCTTATTTGATGGAAGGGCAACTTTGACAATTTATCAAACACTCAAGGGTTACTCATTATTATTGGACTTTTGGTTTTCTTTTTAGTAAATGCGATTAGGATTAAGGGAAAAAAAGTTTTATTTTAAGATAAATGCTACATAATAATTATTTGAATTTTGCTCTGTGTAGATTTATTTTGTGTAGTTAAGGAAAAAAATGAGGCTATCTAAAGTTGTTTAACTCCTAAATGAAATAATGCTTGCGAATTGGATTTTGAGATGATAAAGATGATATATCGTTGTGGCATGGATGTTTGGGTAGAGGTTCCTTCTGAATAGGTTTTTTCGCATTAGGATTTTACGTTAAACAGATAAATCAAGCATCAACCTTCAAAAGTTTTAGAATCTTAATTTCACAGTGATTTCGGCAAACATGAAGAGGAAGAAAGACAGGAAATCTTGGCAAAATACAATCAATTTATATTGTTTTTAATTCTTTTAATTTTCAAATTAGCATGTCTAATTTTTACATTACATTTTGGAAGGTAAGATCGCATGTTTAGTTGTAGGTTAAAAAATAATTACATCCATATCGTATCGACTCGATATTTGTGTCGAGTTAGATCCAAAAAAAATCAATTTTTTTACTCTATTTAATTGCTTAAAGTCGAGATAGGTTTTATTAGAAAAGTATTAAGCGTAAAATATGGTCCAATGGAATGATTTAAATGCTTCTTCAACCTAACTACGTTGTTATTTACATCTGAATAGCTCCATTAACGATTACAAAATAGTTTTATAATGATAAACCATTAATCATTAGTAATTGAAATTTCCATCTGACAACCGCTCCGCTTTGGAAAATATAGGATATAGTCAATAAAATATTTAAAAATATGAACATATTGCTAAAGGTTAAGTTTGAATTATGATAACTAAAGTTCAAATGATTGAATAACTTACAAAGCCCATTTCAAGTCAAAATATTCTTTTGCTAATATTTTTCATTTTTGTCTCTTACAAAATATAAATTAATACAACTATACTAATATTTTTGGATTTGCTTTACATAATTTGTCCAAATAATCTAATTCCATATCACATTTTTTTCTCCTCGAATTTTTGTATCTTTAAACTATTTAAATGTAATACATCTATAGTAATATTATGTACATTATTTCCTTTTTTATTCAATAGATGACAATCAACAATATTTAAATTAAAATAGTAATAAAATTTTCAAAGCTTCATTTGCAATGTAATTATTCACATATAACGAAGATAAAGATTTTTGTTGATTTTTTTTTATTCGGTGATGTTTAATATCTCAAGGCATGAATATAGATTACAGATAGTTTTTCATTTGATTCATTGTCTAACCTAAACTTCTTATTGTTAAGTAAAAAATGAAATACAAAATTCAATAAAATTATAAAGTTAACGGGCACTAAAAAATATAAACTATCAAAGTACTCTTTTGTACCACCCGTGCACAATATTAAAAATCGAACCACCTACGTTTAACTAAAAAAATACCCAAATGACCACAAACCGGCCAACGGGCCGGATACAACACTAGTTAACAGATAGATGTGGCTCGTCGATTTCTAATCATTAAGTTGTTAGGGATTCTGCTCTTCTTAATTCTGGAGAGAGGGCTCCTCTTAATTCTTCGGGTCACTTTAGCATATTATAAACACAGACATTTAAGACTCAAAACCTTTCTCAGTAGGTTAGACACCCAAAAGAGAGACTTTTTGTATGAACAGTTGGATGAGTGGCAAACACGAAACTCATCTAATGATCATTTTTCTATTTCCTACCAACACCCTAACGCGGTTCCAAGCTGCCATTTGATTTGCCTTTAATTTGTCACCCCAAATTTGCTACTTTCAAATTGAAATATACTTGTTTTTAATTCGGTGATGAATTCTTTCATCTCGTACTAAACACGTATAAGTTCCAAAACAATTACTATTTAAAGCATAGATGTATATAAAAACAAAAGCGTATAAATTTTTATTTAAAAAACCCAGAATATCTTCGCTCCTCTTTGATACTTCCTCGCGCTTGAGGCAGTAGCTAGGAGAGGGAGCTTCAACACTAGTATTGCCTCATGAAATTCATTTCGTAAGTGGGTGGCCGATTCATATATAACATATTAATTTGACTGTTTGTTTTATGGGCTATCTACAGACTACGAGTGGGCAATTTAATAAAGCATATACTCAAACCTAGACCTGGCAATCGAGTCGGGTTGGGTAATTTTGGGTCGAGACTTTCGGTTACGGGTTGGGTCGTGTTTGCTAGGCTAATTTCGGGTCAAATATTGACCCAACACATTCGGTTTCGTGTCGGGTTACAGGTCGTTTCGGGTTATTAGCGTTCTCAGAAACAATATCAAGCATGCTTCATATTTTCTTCAAGAACACAAATTTTCACAAATGCATGACAACGGTTTACCTAACACATGTCCATTAACATATTCTCAAATCTTCCCATGCTAATTAAATGAAATACAAATTACACAAATCGTCAAAAAACAATCACAAGAGTAATGTTATTACAAGAAACACATGATATTTGATTATCCTTAAGCTCCAAACATATGTCATTCAAATCCATGTGAATTTATTTAAATATCTCACCAATTTAAGAGTGGTTTTATCATTTTGGGAGTGATATATAAAATGGAGCGGGTCTAACGGGTCGACCCGCTAACCCACCCAACCTGACCCAAAAAATTGCGGGTTATCGGGTTCGGATCATTCGGGTTTCGAGTTATTAAAACTTCTACTTTTCAAGCGGATTCGGGTCGGGTCAACGGGTTGGATTGTAATTTGCCAGGTATACTCAAACCCAATGTGGATCTAGTGAATGGAAACCATATACATGTCCACTTAGGATTTTATTAAATCTCTCGGTGAAACTTGTAAGATAGTTGAGGTTGTGGTTCAAAATACCAAGACCAAAACACACATATTCTTCCCATCAAGAATACCAGGAGATTGCCATAGTGAAATTGAGAGGACTTGGTTGAGGAAGCTGCAAAACCTCTCAGATCGTGTACCGAAAGACATTGTTCGGTTATTGATCATCCAATAATTTGTGCATAAATTTTAGATGGTCAACATGAATGCAAGTATTTTCAATCCACCTTCCATAATTTAACAATATGTTAATTCGATGAATTGCTTGTGCAAATTGTGTTTCAGCTAAACAAGTGGTATTAGAGGTTAATTCTAATTCGGAGTACTATAAGTCATTTTAGTGGGATTCACTCATTCGACGACCTTGTCATATAAGATCTGCATGTGTCTTGAGGATCAAGTGGAGATCTGCATATGGTAAATCATTGTGTTGAAAGCCTGTGTATACAAGGTGTCTGACAAATGTAGACAATCGTTGAGAGGAAGACACGAAATTCATGGTCCTTGTCGCGAGGGGAGGATTTACAGGGTACAATTCAAGTACTATATAAAAAATACAAGGGAGAGCACTACGAATTTGACCCACGTCGGACAATATAAATATATAATACTAATAGAGCATAAAGTCTCAACAAAGAGATATGTTGTGGCCTTAACAACATTATTCGAATACCCTAAATTGGTAGAAGTGGACGGTGGCACCAGTACCGTAAGAAACAGTTAGCACATCTCCCCCATTTGGAAGCATAGACTGAAGGCCAAATGAATTGAAAAGCAGAAACGCATAGACGATGGATACACTACCATATTGGTTGATAAAGGCAGAAATGTTAATGTTGAGTTTGAGAACAACCTAGGTGATGATCCCAAAGGGAAAAAACCAGGATATGCAACATAAGCAACCATAATACTCCCGGATAAAACATGTGTGTAGTCAATCTTGCAATGACTGATAAGATTAAGCATCCATGCATGATCCATAATGGCCAAGTATAACTACTGTAAGGGACAACAATCTACAACAAAGTGGGTTCAGATTAATTTATCAACCCGAGTCGTTGATGTACTGACTCACTTCTACTGTCACTCCAGGAATTGGCCAAGTGAAACCACTTCCTAAAGTATAGTATAGCGGGTTTAGGTTTAAATGTCAACCCGGGTCCTAGATTTGACGACTACTCAGTGAATTCTTGTTATCTAGCAATGAAACTGGAATGCAAGTCTAAACTAACAAACTAACAAAGCAAATAAACGGTTGTATTCAGGTTAGGAGAGGTCACCCGGATATGGTTCCCCCTAGACTGCAGTTAAGCCGGATTGCAATTACCAAGTTCAGTTTCTATGATAGTTATACTGCGTGAGGTTCTTAAACAGCCTGAAGTCTCGACTAAAGGTCTTCAGACCCTCTCAATCTGAGTCTCTAGCGGGCGACTAACCTCCACCGGAGTAAACAGATTGAGGCCTTAACAAACAAAACCTCCACTACCGGAGTATATCCGGTATAGAATAGTGAGTTGGCTCCTCGACTAAAGTCACCAACTCCCTACCTTCAATCAAGGATGCTCTATCAACCTAGGCAGATATTCTCATTCTAGGTTAAAGCAGAAACAACAGGAATTTGATCAGGATTCAAGTCATTCAATCATTCAAACCTCAATCGAATATAATCAAATCATAGAATCAGTACTTGGGTTCATACAATCAAAGCCTAACATACAAATCTAGGGTTCTCCATACCCAGATGAATGGGAGAACTACTCCATGGAGAAAGAAGCAAAAGCAGAATCAGACGCGGAATTCATACTGTGAAGGATGGATTCCTGCTCCTGGACGTTGATCGGCACTTCTCCAAGCTCAAACTGGCCTCCAATGGTGATGAAGATCAAGCTAGGGCACTTGGAGACTCTTGTTCGTCGCTTTCTCTCTCTAGGAATCGCTCTATCTCTCTCAAAACTCGAATCCCCTTCTCTTTGGCTGAAAATCTGCTTAAAAGGGCATCAGTGGCCAAAGCACGGTCGAGGGCACGGCCGTGTAATGCCTCAGCCCGCCCGTGCTTTGGCTAGGGTTAATTACACGGCCACCTGTTGGGAGAAACACGGACGTGCTTTTGGGAGGACACGGCCGTGCTTTGGTGGACACGGCCGTGCTTTCAGCCCGTGTTTGCAGCTTGAATTTGCCAAACTCAATTAGCTCTCAGCAGTAAAAGCATGGCCACAGAACACGGCCGTGTTCTGTTTTAGGTGTGCCCGTGTTTTGGCTCCAGCTCGACGAAATGACTTTCGAATGCCCCGAAACTCGTGCTTAGCCTTTCCTTTGACGCCTGGGACCTGAAATATGACAAAATAGCACAACCCGGCGTAAAATAGGCCAAAAATACATGACTATGCCCCTCAAACGGATAAGAACTAGGGGCGCAAATATGTGCAGTTACATCGTTATCATGTACTATTTACTCAGCAAATTCTATTTTATCTAGCGGTCAAGTTGTAGGTAAGTTGTTCGCTAAAAGAGCAGAAAAATAAGCGAGTAAATAGTTCTAGTTTTCTAAAGCAAGAGATCACTACAACAATTTTGGGGTATTGTGACAACGACGTTCGTCACAACAGATCCTACATTTGTCATAATAGATCTATTATGACAAAAATATTTGTCATACCGTTGGTCAAAACTACCTCGTCAAAATAGCTCTATTATGACAAAAAAATAGGCATCTTGTCACAACATGTTCCAGTGGCACGCCGTGCACATTTTGTCATAACAGGCATCTTGTTATGACAAAATGTTTTGTCAAAATATAGAAATGCTTCGTCACAATATGTTATTAATTTTTGTCACGATAGTTACCACTTTTGCTACGTTGTTGTGACAAATGTATAGTTTGTCATAGCAAACCTATTTTGACAAAGCCATGTGATTGTCATAATATTCAAACTCAGACTCCATCTGACATTTGTCCTGATTAAACTTGTTTGTCATAACCTGATGCATATATGACAACCTGTGGGCATTATTATGACAACCTATTTTCCAAATCTGATGCTATTCATACCATAAAGAAAACGGTACATCATTCAAATGTATCAAAAGCTACATCATTCATTGCCGAAATCAAAAACTACATCATTCATAGTTACTATCTGTTCCAAAAACCTACTGATCCATCCATCCAGACACCAAAACAAAGTCTTCCAAAGCGACATATGTTCGTCTTTCAAAAGAGAGTACTAAATAACAAAAGCTAACAGCCTTCCAAAGGTCCTTGAGCATCCAAAATGCATACCTACTGCCATATACCTAGGTACCTGCGTAATACAACGGTCAAAGTTTGAGTAAAACTTATTAAATAAAATTCAATTGAGTAGTAACACCGATGACAGTATAAGTACAACTTATGATACTATAATTTTACCTTTAGCTAAACTTGTCTTCCATCAATTTTTGCAGCTAGTGACTCGACATATTTAGCTAGGGTCTCCTGTGATGCTTGCAACCCTTTGATAATACCGTTCTGACTGTGTATCTCCTGTTGCTGGTTTTCTATCTGCTCCTGTTGTGCATGAATCTGGTCCTCAAATTCTTTCCTCTGCCTCTCCCCCACAGCGAGTGTCTCCTCCAGTCGTGCCTCCAGTTCTTTCTCTCTTTGGGAACTCGAGCTGACTTTTCTGGTATAGCTGGGTGCTTTTTCCAGCACCATAAGAACAATCTCAGCACCGGATAATATTTTCCCTTCTGCCACTGCTTCAGCATGGATTCTTTTCATTTCCTCCTATGAACACAACAGTGGAGTCAGAGTACTTGCTAGGTCCGCTAACATCCAAGTAGTAGCTAGGTTTGCTAACAACCAAGTTCATTCACTTACATGACTAACTTAGCTACAATCAGACCCTATGTCACACATCCAAGTACTAGAACCAACCCCTAATTAAAGAAAGGAAGAACCACAGCCGGTTGTGTTCACTTACATAGTTTTTTTGAGGTTGCACATTGACCCAAGTTCCATTTTTCCTCTTATGTGTATCGGAATAAACTCTGATTTCCTTGGGCTCTACCTCAGCTTCATCAGATTCATTATCATTGTTCTCCATATCAGCCTCATTTCTTGCTTCATCGGTTGTTTCCTAAAGAGGACAGTCCAGATTATAGAATGTAGTAAGGTGCATTCTGGTATTGGAGTATAATGGAGGAGAAACCTTACCATTTCATACATTCGTTGGCTGCATGATTTGCCACCTGTAGTATGAGCAAAAGTCTGCATGCTTTTATTGCGCTTATTAGCAGCACTTTGCCTCTGCATCGGCGTATAAGACAACATTCATTAGCACCTTATCCATATCTAACCTAGGATTACAGAACTGCCTAATTAAATGCTTATCAGACTCAATCTATTCTTCATGGCAGATGGCTTACCTTGAACCTATCAGACTCAAAATGCTCACACAGCTTTATCCACTCCTCCATCTTCACATTTTCAGGAGGGGTCTGTCTAGCATCGGCTCCTAATGCCAGATAATGCTTATGACAATGATACTTGAAGTTAATGAACCTCTTAGGCAGTGAATAATCCACAGCCAACCTCATAGCTTCATTAGTCATTGAGATATCAAACTCACTCTGCAGTCGTGAAAGTATGTTAGTGTGTGAAAAGTGAAGGATACTGACCAGCAAGCATGCAAATACAGGTATATGATTTGTTTTAACTCTAATTTGGCAAAAAGTGGTTGCTTTAGCTCCTCGGTCACATCTGACCAATAGAACATGCCAATGGGAGCCATGAGTTTACATATAACTCCTATCTCCATCTTAAAGATCCTCTCATTATGACCAACAACTTGTTTTGCTCCCCTAGCAACTACCAGCCCTGAAATCTTACTGCCATCTCGTGTCATCTTAGATGCATCATGACGACGAAAAAGATGGTGGATATACCATCTCAAGCTTACAAAGTATGAGAACTATGTTTGTCTGCATCTTTTTCAGTGTAGCCTTTGTTATGGTTTTAGCACACAAATCTTGAAAAAATAGACTTAATTCGGATAGAATTACATAGAACTCTTTCTTCAACAACCCTTGTGCCACAGCCGGTAAGAGTCGTTGTAAGAAGACATGATGGTCGTGGCTTTTCATTCCAGAAACAGATTTCCCATCACTGGTGACACATCGAGAGATATTGGACGCATAAGCATCCGGAAACTTAACGGTTTGTAGCCAGTTACACAACTGAATTTGGTTGGCAGTGGTTAGGGAGTAACAGGCCTGCGGTAAAGATGGTTTGACGCCATCGCTATTAACCCAAAGCTCTTTTCTAATGCCCAATCTCTCTAAATCCAATCTGGCATTCAGGCTATCTTTTGTTTTCCCCTCGATATGCATCAATGTTCCCAAAACATTCTCACCAATGTTTTTCTCTACATGCACATCTAAGTTATGCCTCAACTCAATCTTTTCCCAATAGGGCAACCTCCAGAATGAGGCTTTCGTTTTCCAATTATGATTGGGGGTAGAGGGACTTCGTTTCCTTTTGCGACTCAGATTAGGCATTTCATTTGAATTTAAAGCTAAATTCAATTGGCTGAGTATTTCTGAACCACATAGAATTTTAGGCTTCTCTCTCAAATCTGCCTTTCCATTGAATTTCCTACTTCTCCTCCAGGGGTGATCTGTTTCTAACCATCTACGATGACCCATGTAACATTCTTTGTTACCAAATTTCAAATGAAGGGAGTCTGTCTCACTATTGCAAACAGGACATGCTAGTTTTCCTTTAGTACCCCAACCACACAACATTCCATAAGCAGGAAAATCATTTATGGTCCATAACAAGGCAGCATGTAATTGAAAAGTTTGTTGAGAATATGCATCATAAGCTGTCACCCCATCCGTCCATAATTCTTGTAAAGCTTCTATTACTGGTTCTAAATACACATGAATGTTATCGCCTGGAGATTTCTTTCCAGGTATCAGCACACTTAGAAACAGAAAAGACTCCTTCATACATAACCATGGAGGTAAATTGTAAGGGGTTAACACAACCGGCCACATGCTGTAACTAGAACTGAAGTTCCCAAATGGATTAAAACCTTCACTAAGAAGTGCAAGCCGCACATTTCTAGGATCGACAGTTCCCAAATGGTTTATACCTAGATTTCTTACACTTGGGACACGTCTTTTCATTCTGGAGAGGACCTCGGAATAAGACACAGTTGTTAGGACATGCATCTATAATGGTATAACCAAACCCGAGGTCATGAATGTACCTATTCACCTCATAATACGAATTAGGGAGATTCTCTCCATTTGGTAAAGCTTCCTTGATTAGATCCAAATTGAGGTTAAATGCTTTATCGCTACTATTGGTTTAACATTTTGTTATTCATCATTTTCATAATGAAGGATAACTTTGAAAATTTATTACACCCAGGATAAAGAGGACAGTTAGCATCTTTTAGTAGTTTAGCTAAGGTTGGATCCAGATTCACTCCCCCAAAACCCTCATTCATAGATTCAGAACCTGATGTACCAAACCTAGCAGCATTAGCTCGACTCAAATCATTCAACATGGAAGGCATTTCAATGTCAAAACCATGCATATCATTCTGACCAGTGTCCTCTAAACTATCAGTTGCCACGCTACCACCAATATCAGAATCCTCTCCATGATATATCCACAAACTGTAATCCTCTACCATCTCATTGAGGAACAAGTCAACTTTCACAAGATCTATTGTTTTAAAGCAACAATTGTTGCATTTTCTGCACCGGCACCTAATTCTACCTCTACCATCAGCACATGCTTTGGCAACCCCTAGAAAGTACTCAACACCCTTCACATAATTAGCAGAAAATCGATTCTTCTGCTTCAACCAACCTCTATCCATTTAGTCTGTGTGCATAAATTAGGCTAACCTGTGCCTTGGGACGATTCTTGGATCACAAAATGCAGGTTGACCTTATAACTTCACTTGAGCAAGCACCTGCAAAATGAAAACAAGAGAATAAATCTCAAATGTTCCCCTAAGGATGTCGAAATAGCAATAGCAAATCAATCACAACACCGAAGCAATCAAACCTTCTCTAACAGGGTCGTCGCAGTGAACAGAACCAAACACACCAGTACCATAACAACAAGATCCACAAAGTAGAAACCGACAGTTTACAACAACGTCCACAAAACACAAACCAGATAACTCAGCATCCCTACGCAGCTTATAGAAATCAAAGAACTACTGATAACTCAGAGAATAGTGTTCTTAGATCAGTAAAATCGTTTTAAGGAAACGATAAACCCCAAAAACCCTTAGGTTGCAATTGAATCCAGAAACTAAATTTCCAATCTCTGAGTTACGCATGCAAGACCACATGTAGGGATTCCATTTATCAAAATCAACCAAATCCCCAACAAAATCGGCTTACAATCGGCAAACCCTAAACTCCCCCAAAAAATCCCCAATGAAAGCTTCTCTCAATCGTCTAAAAATGATGCGACAGAAGTGGAAGAGGGTGACCGAAGAGAGTACAGTCGTCTTACTCGATTATGAAGCGATGCGCTTGCTCGCTGCTGCGGGGAGGATTCGATGCGACTGCGAAGACAGACCAATTTTTTAAGCGGCGAAATTTGGGAGTGTATCTGGTTTTGGAGCGCTGGAGGGAATTAGGTCCGGCGCCCTATGTCCTCTCTCTCTCTCACTTTCATTATCTGAACATAAAATGGAAAAGAATAAAAGCACCCCTGTTTTGACTAATCAAACTTTGTCACATTACCAAAATTATGTTACTTGAAATAAAGTACGAGAACAATATTGTGACAAACTTATAATGACATACACTATTTGTCATAATAAATATGTAATATGACAAAATATTATGACATCATATAACTTCGTCACAATATGGGTCTAATATGACAAATTAGTATGACAAAATGTTTCTTTGTCACAAAAACACAACTAATATGACAAATTTTAGTTCTGTCATATTATAGGTTCTATTGTGACAAACCTAAAATGACAAATTAAAATTTCGTCAGGACATCCCAAAATTGTTGTAGTGAGAGAACACTCAAGTATGCATTCCCCTAGCTCCTCAATTAGATCCAAGTTGTAATTCCCTTAGTTGCTTTATTGATGATTGAACTGCGGAAGATCCAAAAATAGTTTGGAATCTCTTAAGCAGGACAAGCCCTCTTAGACAAGGTACCCGACGACCGACTAACCTCCACCAGAATATAATGCTCATACCACACACAAAAATCTCCACTACTGGAGTGAATTCCCAGTACATAGCAGTGAATCGATTGACTCTCGCACAATTGATGAGCTCTCTTAACCCAATAAGATTCTATCTTTCCTAGGTTAAAGCATAAATCAAGAGAATGTGATCAAAATTCAACTGACTCAAACAAAGATGCCATGGTCATCGCCTTCCCTATCGATGCTGTCACCGACAGGGAGGCCACCATGATGGCGAATAAATCCCTAACCAGAAGCTCTTTCGCGAGGAGAAAGAAGAGTGAGAAGAGAGTTTTTTCTGTTTCAGATGTTGTTGTGGCAATAGGAGTTGACATATGAAAAAAAAATAGTTGAAATAAGTGAAATCGCTTTAAGTAGCTCCCTTGTTGTTTCTTGTGAGGTCCTATCCATTGTTGGAATAATGTCATTCAAGGGACTATATGATCAAATCTCATTAGACATATTTTTATCCTCTTCATTTTTACATCTCACATCCAAAACCTTTTTGCTATTTGCAAATATTATTTTCAAATCCTTGCTTCTTCGATTTTCACATAACTACTTATGTCATACTACTTCTCCCATTATTTTTCTATTTTTGTCTTAGTCTCAAAACTGATACTAAACGATGTCTAAATACTTACTAAATATGTTTTCTGTTTTTTATATTCAACTTTCATGATTTTCAATATTACCATCTAAACAAATTTATGTTTTTATTTTATTTTAATGTTGTTGTTTTAGTTTTACTTAGTGGCAGACCCATGACTTTCATATAAGTTGTCCTCTTTAAAAAAAATTCTTAAATAAGAAAATATCTTACTAGTACAAGTTACAATACAGTTCACGATATGTTTTCTCATAATAATTTTTTTTTTGTGAAATATACTAACAATGTATCATACTAAACAAATCTCCTTCACTATATCATACTAAACAATTATTCATGAAGTGCTCGCCTGTTCGATTCACACCTCTCATCTGTCGGAGGTCAGCGTCATCGAATTCTTAGAGGAGTAATGAGACTAGATGAATGGATTCTCAGAGGAATGAGGTCGAAGACTCAAAGCTCTTCGTTTGTATGTTAGTATACGGTGGGATAAGAGGTGGTCGTAGGTGGATTGAGTGTTTTTTTAGGTTTGAAAAGTTGGGAATAATGGGTAGAGGTTTATAATTATATTTTTTATAAAAATTACAACAACAAATGAATTGTAGTACAATATAAAAAGTATTAACTACCATGTCATTATAAACGAGTGATATAAGATCCATAATTAACCTCCTCCCAACAACTTGAGTTTGATCAAGTGGTCATGTATAAGAATCTCCACTAACATCAATATTAACAGTTGATTGAAACACAAGGTATGAAGGGCCTCTACTAACTTCAAGTCCATGAGATGACTTTCGTTTTAGGCCGTGTGTAAGAGAGTAATATATGATTCATAATTAACCTTCTTCCAACAACTAATGTTCTTGAGACTAATTGGTTTATGAAAGTTACAGGTTTGAATCACATAGACTACTATCTAATTATTTTCTTTTTTCCCATACTCAAACTTCTACCAGAATTCGTTACCTTTTTCACCAAATTTTAGGGGTACCCCTTTGGGTCTTGATTTTTTTTGGTGTCATAACCAAGATTGTCAAATCGGATTAAGTCATCAAACCGGTTTGACAAGTGGTTTGAAGTTTACTGGTCAGATCGGGTTCAATCAGTTCAAGTCAATTTTAACATAATGTGTGAGAAAACCTCTACTACCAAATAGATTATACATATATTTGACATATTTTAAAATAATTTCACTAATCTACATTCATTATATTACCAAATTATTTCTTCAAATGAAATATATATTATAAAATTATAAATCCTTATCTTCAAACCAGGTTTCGACTGGTCAGACCACCCAATTTTAACTGGGTTAATCCATTTTTGTCTGGTTTAACTCAATTTTGGCTTTTTATAGAATCGTCCAACATAAGTAGAGGTGTACATGGTCAGGTGGTTCGGGTTTGGTAAATTTAATCACCCAACCCATGTATTACGATTTTGAAATATTAAATTCAAACCCATCCCAAAAAATTAAAGCCCTATAGTTTGTTTATAATTGGGTTGGGTCAGATTGAAGATACTTTTAATTAAAAATCCAACCCAACACAAAAAGAAAACTATTCTACGCTACCAAAATATTATATAAATAATTAGAATTTTAAGCAAATAAATCGAGGAAAAAAGTATCAATGTGCATAAATATTGTTTGGATTTTAATGAAATGAAACTTACTTCAACATATGTCTAGTTTTTTTCATAAATATTTTTCCAGATAAGCTAAAGTGGTTATAAGCTGACACATTCATAACACGTGAATCATAGCTTATATTAAATCTACGTCTAAATATTAAATTGAAGAATGTATTATGTTTGGGAAACCATAGGAGAAAAATACTACAAGATAGGTTAATTTTCGCACAAATATTGATACGAACACTTATGACAATAGTTCAACATGGATTGGGTCGGATTCTATGGGTTGTTTTAGTCATAATCCTGACCCAACCCAGTCGAGGCAGGTTGTACAATACAACCCTCACCCAATCTTAACTATAATATTGACAATAAATACATGTGAATTGGGTCGGATTGGGTGGATGAGTATTTGCAGGCATTCCTAAACAAAATTATATTCTGACTTTTTAAATGACCGATTCTGGTCGAACATGATTGAACCGGCCGTCAGAATACAGGGTTGACAACTGTACGTGGGCACTGGGTCGTGCCGCCCACGAGCTAGCACGACACGACACGGTTAGAGCACGACACGAGCACGGGCACGAAATAAATGGGCCAGCCCGGCACGAACACGAATAATTTATGGGCCATGCCGGGCCTAAACTTCATGGGCACGACACGGTATATAAGTGGGCCATGTTGGGCCTAATATTTTTGAGACTTTATTGAGTATAAGAACGAATATGACACGAAAATAATATTTATTTGATGGAAAATAAATATAAAAAGAATTATAGGTTCAAATATTACAAAACACAAGTAGAAAAATAATTATTTGTTGTTGTTAGAATTGTCATAAAGATATATACGTAATTACTAACATAAGTAAAAATGGATAAAGAATTAAACAAGGCCAAATCACACTCGCTATACTTCCAATTTTCTTTGCGCCCTTATTTGTTACTTTTCTCAAACATTATCGGTTAATACTATCTTCCCCCGTCCAATTTTCACCTTTTTTTTCATTCTCTCTTTTGTTTTCGTCCTTTTCATTAAACACGAATATGAACATGGCACGAGCATGAATAGACACGACACGATTCGAACCGTGCCCGGCCTGGGCCGGGCCTAGCAAAATTAACAAATGGGCTTGCATGGCACGACAGTAAAACTGACGGGCCGTGCCAAGCACGACATAAAATAAATGGGCCCGAAACGTGCCCATGTCGTGCCGGCCCAAACACGCCCAGCGTATTGACGACCTTGGTCAGAAACTCACAAGCATGATTGTTTTCGCTGGACGAGATTAACGATTCAAATCCCTAACCTCAACAAATTTTACAACTTGTCCTTCTCACCCAAATTCTCACAGCCGCCCGCTACCCACCCTCGGCCTCTCTTCAGAGTTCAGAGCAAACAATTTTCGCCCTTTTCTTTTTGCTTCATTCGAGCGTCCCTTCTCCTCCACTGAAAAACCTTACTACCCGTTGCACACAAGCTCCCCCGCCGCCGTCACCCAACCCCTACGAGAAACCTTTGCCACCGGACGAAACTCGCCGCCGCACGCTTCTATCCACTTCTCCACTGCCGTGCTCTCCGCTTCCCATTTGCCGCTGCCTGCCCTGTAAGTCACGCAAATTCGCTGAATTGACAATTGATTATTGATGCAGGATGAGCAATGATTGTGCTTTGTCGACAAATAGAAAAAGTGCAGACTCCTTACATCACCAGAACACTTCTTTTGTATAGTTCTCTACATACTAATTTCCTTTGTACTTCGTAGCAGTTCTTGGTGTCTAAATTGTTACACAAGCATAAGCAAGTTCCTTGCTTGAACTGAATTATTTTCCATTTCGATTCTGTTCCACTCCCTGATGATTGGTAGAGCTTATTAGATTGGCTTCCATGAAAGAAATTGCTTATACTCACTAGAACTCATTTACTCCACTGCCAGCCATAGCAACTGCGCCAGAAAGGGGGAGTGTTGGTTTGGGTCGCGTCGAATTGGGTGACTATAAACAGTGACACGTCCAGGAAGAAATTGCCACAGTCATTATAATGTCTCTTCTGGCTCCTCCTTCGTCCACCTCTTATTCCTGTTCTATTTTTCCCGTATGTCCTGGTCTGCATTCTGCTTCCCGCGCTACGCTGCCACTTTTCCCCACGAGAATTATCCGTTGCAGCTTATTGCAAGATCAAGTGTCCGTTAATGGCGGAGCTGGGTCTAGAGTCTCTGATCGGAATGAGCTTCGACTTGGCTTGCCTAGCAAAGGACGGATGGCCGAGGACACTCTTGATCTCCTTAAGGTGAGTGCATCATTCTACAGTTTCACTTTCATGTTTTCCTTCTTGCTCGGTGATTGTGGGGAAATTGGTTGGATAATTAACAATAGAGGAAGACTTATGTTAGTAACTTTAAGCTCTATACTTGGAATTTGTCGTTCTTGTACACAAACATTGTTCATAAATAGTTCTGTCTTACTTCTTTGTGTGAAGGACTGTCAACTATCTGTCAGAAAGGTTAATCCTCGACAATATGTTGCAGACATTCCTCAGGTATCTTTTCTCTCTTTATGAAACATTAGCCTTTGGGCAATTCCTTATGTTAAAATAGTTCCCGAAATGGTTTCCATGTTTTTTGTTTGATAAAAGCATTGGCTTTGTTTACACATATCTGTCATTCTGTTCTCTAGCTGTCCAACTTGGAAGTCTGGTTCCAGCGACCCAAAGACATTGTGAGAAAGTTGTTATCCGGAGATTTGGACCTTGGAATTGTGGGCCTTGATATAGTTAGTGAATATGGCCAGGTAACATTTGATATTCTACTCAGTTGTTCACTTTGGCTTGATGCTCATCTTTGTTGTCCAACCCAATTTATGTTTCTCTTATTTTTGAAAATGATGGATGGGAGCATTTATGTAATGCTCACTCTGCATGCATTTCATGCGTGGATATGAAAGGAAGTATGTGCTCATGTGTCTTGATTGCTGAAAGACAATTACAGAGGATATGAGTGGCTACTCCCCAGGACTTCTAAATTGCTGAAACATAGCTTTTATTTTGTTCTTGTGTTTAACGTAAAATCTTCTTGTTTTGAGCAGTAGCTCCTAGGAATTTAGTAATTCCAATGGGATAATGCAGTTCCTTATATGTGAGATATGAAAGCAGCGCATTTTCCAGCTACTCTGTCTTTGGTTTCGTTTGGTTTTAAGGGATTATATTCATAAACTTATTTACATGGTAAATTCATAGATACATGACACTTACATGTGAAACTTGTGGACAGGGAAGTGAAGATCTTATCCTTGTTCACGATTCTCTTAATTTTGGGGATTGCCATTTATCGATAGCTGTAAGTGTCTTCTTCTTGGCACTGGTGAAAGCTAGAATTCACCTGCATTCACCATGGTTATTATTTCATCATTTCCAGTTTGATATTCTAAAATGCACACTTCTGCTGACTGTTACTCAGATACCAAAATATGGCATCTTTGAAAACATAAATTCCATGGATGAGCTGGCTCGAATGCCTCAGTGGACAGCTGAGAAACCTCTACGAGTTGCAACTGGATTTACTTATGTACGTTACTGTGTGGCCGTTTCATGTATCTATGTATTTATACTGGACTGCTTATTCAACTGTTCCTTGCACTTCCGTTCCTTGCTCTTCTCTTATTATTCCTTTTGGAACTTTATATTCATAACAGCTAGGACCTAAGTTTATGAGGGAAAAGGGACTGAAGCATGTGGTTTTTTCAACCGCTGATGGAGCCTTAGAAGCAGCACCAGCGGTGAGAATTTTTTTCCTTCAATCTCTGCTTCTATTAATTTTGTCCCTTTTTCTTGAATACAGAAGTACAACGAAAAATCAATATAGAGTAGTGAGTACCGTACCTCATTTGGAGATTGTACCATTAGTCTAGATAATGACGATTTTCCTTTTCTTTGTTACTCTAGATGGGTATAGCTGATGCAATTTTAGACCTTGTCAGTAGTGGGACAACCCTCAGGGAAAATAACCTGAAAGAAATCAAAGGTGGAGTTGTATTGGAGAGTCAGGTAAAGCTAGCTACTTCAAAGACGAGGGAGGATCTTTCCAACCATGTCTCCTATGCTCAATTGACAAAATTGGTTGCTCTGCATATACCTCACCTCAAAAGTTAATTTGTTACTGTAGGCTGTTCTTGTTGCAAGCAAGAAATCATTAGTGCACCGGAAAGGCTTGTTGGACACAACACATGAGATCATTGAAAGATTGGAGGCACATTTGAGGGCTGTTGGTCAATTCACGGTACTGTCAGTTGTTTATGTTCCTATTGCAGAACACCTTAGAAAGGAAGGAAAAGAAGAATAAAATACTCAATGTACTGGTTTTTTTGTTTTCTCAACCCGTTCCATGTTAGGTGGTTGCAAACATGAGAGGAAATAGTCCCGATGAAGTGGCTGAGCGAGTACTGAGTCAGCCATCTTTGGCTGGGCTGCAGGTAAGGAAGTCTTGCAACAAAAATGCAATTTGCTGCCACTCCATTTATTTATTTATATGTACTTTGAAGATTTTTTTTTTTTTTTGCATAATTACAGTTTGAATGTGATGATTGAGCTGAAGCTCTTCATCTAACTTAAGATGAATTTGCCTGTAATCTTCTCAGAGCTTACTTTGTTTGGCTGAAAGTTAAATTTAATTATTTATCTTGTTTGTTCTTCGCACAGGGGCCTACTGTAAGTCCAGTTTTCTGCAAACGTGATGGAGAAGTTGTGGTTGACTATTATGCCATAGTCATTTGTGTACCAAAGAAGGAATTGTACAAGTCTGTGCAGCAACTTAGAGTGGTCAGTTATTCGTTCTCTAGTTAGTATTTTTTAGCCTCAGATAAGCTTAACAGTGGAGGCTGTACCACATCCAATCCCATGTGACACTAACACCTTGAGTGTTCCCTCGTTTATTTTGTATGGATTTGTGCAGATTGGAGGCAGTGGTGTTCTGGTTTCTCCTCTGACTTACATATTTGACGAGGAGACCCCTAGATGGCAGGAACTTCTCGGCAAACTTGGCCTATAATAATCGATGTTCTCTTTGCTCAGTGTCTCATCCTTTTCCAGTACATTTCTGTTCCTTCAGTAACCTGCAGGCTTCCAGACTCCAGGTACACGCACCTTGATTAAGGCCGGTCTACAATTAGAGATGATTGAGAAGCATGAAAGAAAAGGAAGTACCCTGCCCTGCATCGTTGAGCTCCAGCAAGCAAGTGCATAAACAACTTCGGGAAGTAATTTTTCCGTGTAGTATTTTTGTGTTGTGATTTAGTTATTTAATGTAGGCAATGGTCTCAATTCTGGATTTTGACCTTGTTTCTGCATTTCTGGGTTTGTAATGCTCCCACATATTGCCAGTGGTTTCTCTTCTCCATTTAATTCTTGGGAAAGAGTCAAAGTGCTGAACTTTGTCGTGTCGAATCTGTTGAATTATCTTGAACTTCATAGTCATTCGGTAACTTCATCGTTATGTTTTGGTTGGGAAAGAGTCAAAGTGCTGAACTTTGTCGTGTCAAATCTGTTGAATTATCTTGAACTTCATAGTCAGTCGGTAACTTCATCGTTATGTTTTTGGTTATGACGAGGGATCTTCCGCCATAACTAAGAGAAATCAAGATCACCATGATGGCAGGTGATCTCCTTCCGTTCTCCAAACGGATGTTATCTAGAAATACCATTCTCCATTCTCCACAGGTCAGTGCTGTGATGGATAATGTTCGCAATAACTAAAACTATGCATCCTCTATTGCCGAGGCAGGTAAACATGACAGGCTCTCTCAATATACAGAAACCTCATGAACAGCCATTTGAGTTCTTCATCGCGACTTAATTCGCTGCTCCCACCAACGGTTGAAACTTGAAAATGAGGTCTTGAGAACAGTCCTGCTGCTGCTACTTGGTCTCCAGTAGACCCATGTTTACTTAAACCGCCCAGGATAATTCATTTGACTCGAGCACAGTTTCTCTTGGAATCACTACCACAACTCACGCACGCTCCACGCTTCACATTGGGACGCCTATCGTCATGGAGAACAGGATAAACAATTACTCAGTCTCTTGGAGCAGCTCCTTGTCCCAGATGCTGCATTACAACGACATTACACTCTCCTTCTCAGATATCACCACATATGTGCACGACGACACATCTCAATTCCTCGACTTCACTGCACACATGATGCAATCATGCATGGCCGAGGGAGGTGATATCTGAGAAGGAGTGGGGTCTTGGGGTTCTCCCTGGAAAAAATAAATATGGTTATATGGTGGCTACTTTGGGTTTTTACTTTTTTGGGTGCATTCAACTCTAAAAGTGTCCATAGTATATTAAATTTTGAACGGTAATTGGTAGCATTGATCTAATATGATGATGAAACATCAATTCACAACTAATCGATCCATTATCCTAACCATTTAACCTTCAATTTTGAATTCCAGCCAAAAACCCCAAATTGTAAACCTAAACCCTAACTCTAAATCCCTAAAATATTAAATCCCTCAAATTAAAGCCAATTTTGAATTTTTTTTTTTGAAAATTTATGTGTTTCTTGGTCATAATATCATAAGTGATGATTGATACCATTTTGACATGAGTCACATGCTCGGAATGATGATTATGAGGGGAGTGCATTGAATGCATCCAAAAAAGATGCCACCATGGTTATATATATGTGTAGGAACTAGTTTATTATGGGTAGTTTAAGAAGTCAAGATCCAGTTGTTAGGAAATTTAACTATCATCAATATTATGATATATCGTAAATAAATAACACTATATTGATTAGAGAATATTGAAAGTCCTCAACCTTCTACCTCGTAATTAAAAATATTTTTCATTCTACTAGAGATATAAACAAAATCTCTTACCATATTTTTTAACCCAACACATTTGTTTTACTAAGATAATTTTTTTTCATAAAATATTTTATTATATTGTCTATAATAGATAGTTTATTAGCTAGCTTATGAATTATAAGAGAAGTGAGACAATTGAATAATTAATAATTTGATAAATAAGTACTTGATCAGATATATTGAAGGGAGTGAACTTCAATACAATATTATATAATTTACTCGTAAATAAAATCTCACTAGCGGTACCACAGAATTTGACCACTCTGATTCATAGTTGGACAAATACTTCACCAAGAGGACAATAAAACATCATTTTGATGACGCAATTAAAACACCCATCATTGTACTAGATACTTAACAAGAACCCCCATACCACTGGTTTGCTGAAAAAAGTAGTACATCTACTAAATAGACATACGTGTGGTTTGAAAAGGGAGCGGATATGGTGACATCACATTTGTTGTTATTATAACAATACTAGTCTCTAACCAATATGAAGGTAGAATTGTGATGACTTTTTATTAGTTTAGTTGACCTAGTGTAAAATCAAAACAGGTGTATAATTGTCATTATGAAAAATATGTTTAAATAATAATAAAAAATATTTTTTTTTGTATTTTCTGCCCAAAAAATTGGTCGTCGGTCACCGGAATATGCTTTTTTGTTGACGGAATATGCTTACCGGCGTCGGAATCTAGTCATCGGGGCCGGAATATGCCTATCGGCGTCAGAATCTGCTCACTGACGGTCACCGGAGTTCGGTCAACGACCACCGGATGTATGGTCTGCATTGTGAGATTTATGGTTTGGTTTCTCATATTTTTTTATGCCTTTTGTGGTTTGCTTTCTCGTGTTTGTGGTTTGCATTGAGAAGTTTTTGGTTTGCTTTCAAAAACTTTGTGGTTTGCATTGAGGGGTTTCTGGTTTGTTTTAATATATTTGTGGTTTGCATTAGCACGTTTATGGTTTGTTTTTTTGTGGTTTGATTTACTGTGTTTGTGGTTTGCATTAGGAGGTTTCTGGTGTGCTTTCGCAAATGTTGTGGTTTGCTTTGTGAGGTTTGTGGTTTGTTTTAGGAGATTTGTGGTATGCATTATTGTGTTTGTGGTTTGGATTACAATGTTTCTGGTGTGGTTATAAAATATTTGTGGTTTGCTTTGTGAAATTTCTAGTATGTTTTAGAAAATTTGTGGTATGCATTAGTAGGTTTATTGTATGCTTAGTATTCTCTATAATACATATAACCACAATTGCATTCCATAATTCCCAAACCAAAGTCAAACATTGTGGTTAATAGTTGAAAGGTTATCAAATCAATTTAACCTCGTTGTCTGCTGTGGACTTCTTCCATTTTCCCCCCAATTCTGTTTCACATTCTCCCGCTGACGGCTTTCCTTTCTTGTATTTGTCTTTCCTGCAACAACTATCGGAATTTGGATTCTGTAGATTTCGACTTCCCCGCCGGTGACGATTCTTTCGACTCAACCGGCGAATCTTAGTAAAGAAAAATGTGGAAGCTTAAGATAGCCGATGGAGGGAGTAATCCATGGCCGAGGACTACGAACGATCATGTAGGAAGGCAAGTCTGGGCGGCGGCGGGCAGGTGGACCCCACCGCCGCCAACACTGCCTTCTACGCCGCCCTCGCCGTCTTCTGCGTGGTCGGCGGAGGCCTGTGCAACGTCGCCGGCCCCCGGCTCATGCTCCCCGCGGGATGCATCACTTACGCGCTCTACGCCTGGTCCTTCCTCTACTACAACCACTCCCGTGACCAGACGGTCATCGTCGTTGCCGGCGGGATGATGCGGTCGGTGCAGGGAGCGGTGTTGAGATTCGCCAGCGCCGGAGTAGGATTTCTCCACCGAGGAGAGTTGGAATTAGGGATTAGATGGCAGTCGGAGGAGGACACCGTAGATGGAGAACAGAGCAGAGGGGAATGGCTAATTTTTATTTTTATTATAAATTTCCAATTTTGGCCTTAATGAATTATGTTGTTACAGTAACAACAGATAGGGTGTTGTTATTCTATCGTATCCCGTTTGAAAATATCATGGTAAGTAGTGATGGCAATAGGAGAAACATGACAAGTACTTCAATACTCACATTTGGTGTGCACAATATGCGGATCAAGTCGAATAATATTAATAGAACGAGTTCACATCAAGTCGGATAAATATTAACCGAAAGAATTTAAATTATCATTTAAGGTCATCAACTAGAAGTACAGATCCACAAAATCCAAGTGAATGGGATTTGCAATAAAGTGGCGGCGATTCAGTCGGATCACATTGCCATTGTTTGCAACATTTCCATGATGACAAAACATGAAGCATGCAACATATTTCAACATATTCCATTATGGACTCGGCATCCCCGCATGGATTCCACTCACACAGTCACACCCTCCTCTGCCATACCTTCCTTCCTACCGCAAACCTGTAGAGGAAAACGTAGGAGGAGGCACATTCTTTGCTTTTTATGTTCACAAACATGGAGAACAATCCGTTCGTACAAAAGAGAAAAAGTTCCGTTTCTTACCGAGTTAAACCGAAACGGAAACAACTAGAATATAAATCGATTCAGAATCAAAAACTCAAAACCGATAAGATTATTGTCGGTCAATTTCGGTTTAAACCTAAACACTAAACCTAGTGCAGACTAAACACTCTAAATTAAATGTAGGTTTAGTAATCAATTTTAGTTGTTACATTACTCTCTTTTTTTTTGTTTTTACTGAAATCACGACATTAGTCTAACATGACATGATGTAACCTAGAATTACAAGTTACAACTATTCCAAACATTTGTGCTCATAAGTTTGTTCTTGTAATGGGCTGCATTAAGATGAATTTATGAAGGTGTCCCTAGCAAGTTTAAGAGATACATACATGTGATACAAGTAAATCATAAAAGATCTCAATTTGTGCTATTTCATCCATACCATGTGCATTGTATTACAACTGAAGATTGATATAGTTTTGAGATGAACTAGAGGAATGCACTCAAAATTCTTGTATAAGAATGGGATAGGATGAACAACCGCATTAGTAGAGCTTTCAAACTAGTTACAATAGCAGTTCGGTCCAATTGCTTGGATAGTAAGAGATGAGCCAAATGGTTTTTCAGGGTTGGATATTGAATGAGATGAATCACTCTAATTTAACTAGTCCACTGAGTCACTCTTTCAAGCATAATTTTTTTTAACAAAAAGAATATTATATAGCGTGAACCGAGACCATCTGCTTTGAACAAATTTTACTTCTTCTTTCGCTTTTATTCATTTTCTACCTACTTACTGTATTTAAGCGATCCACTACCGACTACCATCACTTTTTTTTATAAAAGACTACCGATGTAATTAATAATTTGAATTTATTTTTTATTTTTTATTTTGCGAGACAACCTGAATGATCTATCAGAAGTTTTGGCGTTGGTTGACATGGATTTGAAATTATTGACTCATAAATTAGTGTGTTATATATTTCCAATGTTTATATAGAGTACACAATATGTTTTCAAGGACGAAACCCATTTTTGTTTTTAGAATTACTGCTTTATTTTACACTCAAAATATGCAGCCCTACTTTTATTAACAATGGATATAAACAATGACTTGGGTTATAGTACCAAACTCCGGCCCGTAAAACCGTACAAAACTCAAACTCCTGGTTATATAATCGTATCATCACATAGTGATACGATAATACGATGATAGGACACGATGATACAACCGGTTTTAATAAGTTTACTACGATTAAGACAGATTCCTATCTATCAAAGAAATCCATCCATATATACTTGATACTTGCTCTATATTGATTCAAGATACAAAGATTCGTCATCCATTAGCCTAACCCATTGGGTGAGTTAGAAAGTTAGAACCAAAGAAAACAAAAAGGCAGGCAGCTATATTATGTCACCAACAAATTAAAGGGATATATGGGAAATTGGGTAAAGTGACAAAAGCTGGGATCATAGCATTAACCGCCGAAATTAAATAACTGCTATAACTGCCCTCTCCCCTTCTCCCTCCTCCTCCTTAGTCCTCATGACATCAATGAAACCCAAAATCTAATCTAATGCACAGTACTCTGTTGATCAGAAGAAGCACTCAAATGAAACCCAAACCATTTCTTCTTCTTCTACTCCTACTCCTACTGCAGCTTAATTACTTGTTCCATCTAGCAGACTCAAAGCCGCACCTCGTCCCTTCCGACCCATCCCAGCTGGCATCATGGGTGGCCCACAGCATGAGATCATCCTCGCCGTCCTCGCAAGGCACGGACGGCGACCAGCGCCTGTCGGCGGCGGAGAGCGGCCGGCCCAGGGTGATCAGGGTCGCCAAGAGCGAGCCGGCGGATTTCGGGACGGTGACGGAGGCCATCAGCAGCATCCCGGAGGGTAACACGAGGCGGACGGTGGTTTGGATCGGCGGAGGCGTCTACTGGGAGAAGATCACCGTCGGCTCCGGCAAGCCGTTCGTCACCTTGTACGGAGACCCGGCGGACAGGCCGCGCATCGTTTTCAACGCCACCGCTTCCCAGTACGGCACCGTCTACAGCGCCACCGTGGCGGTCGAGAGCGACTACTTCATGGCTGTCAACGTCATCTTTGAGGTCAGCTCGCTATGTATTAGCTGTCTGTTTCCTTTCCTTTCTTCCTCCCTATTTTCCTCTGTGTCTTTCATTTCTGTTTTGTTTTTTGTTTGTTTCTGAAATCTTGTGACTAAATTACTGTTTTGGGTTCTTCGGTTTCTAGCTTTGAAGTGTACTGCAGGATACTAAGGTGAAAATGTGTTTGTTTTGAATACATAAAAGGGGAAGTTAGGGGAGAGAACTATATGGAAATATGGCGTGTATGTGGTTCACAAATTCAACTTAGAGAAGACAAAAGAAACTCCTCTGTTTGCTATTAATTGCAATGTATTACGACGAAGCAGTAGAAAATGAGGTGCCAAAAAGAAACTGCAACAACCTACAAAATTTACAGTTAATAGCTGTTTACTTGTTGAATTTCAGCTACGGGTTTGAGACCCCAAATTCCTCTTATTAAAAATCTGGTTAAATCTGTTGCTCGTTTACAAAAGATTGGGGTCCCAAATTTCAGTTAAAAGCATGGATTAAAAAAAAATGTATGGAGGTCAAACTGAAGTAGTCTATGTTGGGTAGTTTGTGGTATGACCATGGTTCAATTATTTCATATCGATTAAATATAGTCTCTTAAATAAATAATTTTTTTTTTGTTAATATTACTATACCGACAAAAATAAGCTGTCATATCGAACAAATATCAGAATTGAAAAGGCTAGCCATGAATCAACTACCATCTAACAAAACCTGAGAAACCTATGCACAAATGTCACATGCAATAAAATTTACAACTTCACCAATTAATATTAAGATTAAGTCTTAATGAACCCATTATAAGTGCAAACATTACCTTTCATGCCAACTGCCCCAAAAAAAAAAAAGGCGCAGTCACTTTTTACTATTGCTGCTTGTGTCATTCCACATTTGACTTTAATACCAGAATTTTAAAGTTCAACTGCAATTACGGTATGATTTTTTAATTCTTGATTAAAAGAGTGTACACCATGCAATATTATGCCTAGCTAGGAACTTCTACATTTTTTTTTATTTTTTTAGTACCTTTTTTTATGAATGGACTTTAGTACTTTCTCTAGAATCTTACCTAACACTTTCATAATTTTTTTTTTCTAAAATTGATTGAGTCTGATAATTTTTTTCTTTTTAGTTATATACTTATATTTATTGTGGAAAACTATCAAGTTTTAGTCAATTAAAACGACCCAATTTTTTTATTTTATAAATAAAATGCAAATCACATTGTAACCTTCAATCAAAATTAATCGAGCCCCTGAGAATCGTAGCCGGCCAGCTTCTATATATACGCTTATGAGGGAATTGGGGATGGGTTGTTTTAGGATCGGACTAGTTCTCGTTAGGACGGCGGGTTTGTTGATTTATACTGAGCAACAAGGCATATGCTCGTTACGTACGCATAGTACACTCTTGAAAAGTTTGGCAAGAAACGGCAGTAGTAGGCCTTTATAGATTTTACTAGTGAGAGAAAATTAATTAATTTGCAACGAGCAAGAACAAACTTAATTCATAGCATTCTTAATTGGGAAAGAGGAATAATTAAAACACTAGTACCACAATGTGCAACAAAGTTGGTTCGTACTTCAAATGGTTTAACGTATTCTGTTCATTCTTCTTTCAGTTCTCCTTTGAACTAATCTTTCACCTTACTAACAAGAATACTCCTACACACTAGAAAAGTTCATGAAATCGAAAAGTAAACATAGAACTTTTTTTTAATAAGGTCTTCACTTCGAATTTCGACAACAACTATTAGTATTCCTCTTTGTAACACATGATGATAAGGGTACGTGAGAAAAAAAATAATAAAAAAGCCGAAAATTTTGAAAGAAAAATACATTATTGATGACCTTATTTTGTCTAGGGACGACCCTATACCATAAAAAAAACGACAATATCATCAGTTTTGTCAATGTGAAAGTGCATTGTCGATACTCGATAACCTTATTACTTATAGAGACGATTATATATGTTTTAAAAAATATGACAAGTTGACAACGTGCCCAGCTTTGCCAATTCTGGAAAAAAAAATATTACAAACGAGATTATTAATTATCGTGACAATTTTCTGTCATCACAAAAAAGGTATGTCAATAAATTAATAACGGTGCGTGTGTGTGAGAAAACAGAACGCGGCGCCAATGCCAGAGATCAACAGCAAAGGCTCCCAGGCGGTGGCGATGAGAATCTCCGGCGACAAGGCCGCCTTCTACAGCTGCGACTTCCTCGGGTTCCAGGACACACTCTGCGACTCCCAGGGCCGCCACCTGTTCATGGACTCGTACGTCCGCGGCACCGTCGACTTCATCTTCGGCAACGGCACTTCTCTCTACCTCAACGTCACCATCGAGTCGGTGGCGGAGGAGACCGGTGTGATCACGGCTCAGGCCAGGGAGAAAGAAGGCGAGACCAGTGGGTTCTCGTTCCTCCACTGCACCATCAGAGGCGCCACAAAGGACTACACTACGTACCTGGGCCGGGCTTGGAGGGAGAGGTCGAGGGTGGTTTTTGCCTACACTTTCATGCCCGCCGTCATCAACCCCGCCGGCTGGTATAGCGTCGGCTCCACCCCCAACCCTAACCAGTAAGTAAAAATTGCACACATGCACATGCCTAATAATACCTGATGCGTCTATGTTGGTATAAGATTTATTATTAAATTTCTCATAACAACTCAAGTTAATAGAATTAATGGTTCTTTCATATTTGACTTGATGCGTTTTACCCGACTCTTTTTGGGCAGGTAATACCCGCCCGTAGGTGGGGCTGGACGAATATGGATACTTTTCTCGACCTGACATACCCCAATTGTTTTACCTGTTTTTGCCTAAATTAAATATATTACTCAATTACTTAGTATTTTACATTAATTACCTCATGTTTTTAACTATAATGAGGTTGTAAATAGATGAGAACCTCAATTTCTCAAATAATTTAGCTACGTACATTTATCATATTATAGTTTGTTTCTTGGATTTTTAATGAAAAAAAAATGAACATTTATAATGTTTTCCTTTTACATTACACATATCCTTATGGATCGACCTCTCCCGACCCGCATCCCCATGATAAATTTACCCAATCAGTCACGGGGCGGGTATGAGTATCGAGATATCCGTCCCAGACCTGCAGCCCTATTGTCATTCCTACCGAGAGGTCTTTTGTTCAAATGTCTCAATAAAGCAAATGGTATCCGGACTTATGCGAATTTCAAGGCCATATGAGTCGACTTTTGTTTGAGTAGGGTGTGTTCATAAATGCTATAAGATTCATAATCGAACCTCTCACAAACAATTCGAGTTATTGAAACTGTTGGTACTGATAAGTGTGATTTGTTTTTACAAGCAGGAGCGTGTACTATGGGGAGTACAAGTGCAAGGGACCAGGTGCGATTCCGTCGGGGCGGGTTAGCTACGCCAAGTTGCTGACCGACGAGGAAGCCAGCCCGTTCTTGAGCATGACGTTTATCAATGGCCACAAGTGGCTTCTTCCTCCACCTCGACTCACCACCACCTTCTCGACTTCTTCTTATAACCGATGACAGTATAATATATATGTAGTATTACCACAATATTGTACGTGGAGCGAGCTAGCTAGCTTGATGGTGTGTTTGGATCCTGTTTACTACACCAACTTCGTCGGGAAAAACAGGTCCAAGAACTTTCAAAACATCTTTCTTTAGTGTGGTGTGTGATTCGCCCTGTTCGATCGACGCTAGCTCCGCTCTCTCGTTGTGTAGATGTGAACTGATTGTGCGGCCACCTTAGGAAATTTCAACGTTAGCCGGCGGCACGGTCTAATAACATCATCCGGGGAAGTAATTAGTATTTTGGTGCTTATCGGATTCGCATCAATACAAAATTAGACAAATACGTAGTTTCATGATTGGAAAGGATTACGAGACTTTAGCTAATTAATTAACCAACAATATTTAGCATGTCCCCGGTTGTATTTCAACAAATTAACACTTGTTGGGTTACATTACATCACACGAACAAGAACGAAACCCGCCGAGCCCGAAAAGCACATCCCTGCCCACTGACAGCCACTCTATCTAATCAAAAACCTCCTTCCTACTGTTTGTCAATCGGGGGGAAAAAAATAGAAGCAAAAACAAAAGCCGAAGAAAAATACTCATCAAATTGGATAGAGAAAGATATATCTGGCATAGAACGAGACCCATTTGATTTTTACACCAGAAATCAAATTTTAGCTCTATCCTTCCTTAATGGTTAATGCGTCTTCACCTGCCAAAATGAAACCATAAATTCATTTTTCAATAAGCAGATGTAGAACCTTTGAAACACTTCTGGACACAACGCATGCACTAGAGGATTATAATAACCTAAGTTCTAGGAGTTAAATATGGAAGATGGGAGTTGGAGGTTTTTATCTCGTGTCTAACTTGTTCAAGCGCGGCCGAAGCGATTTTAGCCGTTGAAAGCAAAAAAGAACAATTCGTTCTATATGCTAAATGTAATAGTAATTATATTATTTTTGCAGTTTAGTTAAAATGATTATAACTTACTTAATAATTAACAAAAAAAAAAATATATCTTACAAAGTTTGAGAACTATTTAAAAAATAGAGAAATAAGATTGAGTTTGTAGATTGTGTTGGTTGTTCTGGACTATCTACCTCCACCTAGTAGCAAGAGGAGAGGGGTCCCAAGACCCCACTTAGTAAAAATTTTGGAAAAAGATTCATTAGATAAATATGATTTTGTAAATATAGGACTTCATACTCACAACGAAATTTGTCGTACCTAAGGGCTCCAATAAACTCAAAACCCATTAGTACATGCACTTTAATGTCGTTAATTTTTTTAAGGACCCCATTCCGTTTGCAATATGACGACAGCCACTACCTCCACCTAATTACAACTACGTGACACCTAAGTATCGTCTTACTCTATCTACATATTCCCAATCTACTTGTATGACTGTCTAGTTATCTTGTGTGTCATTTGACTGTCTATCAATCTCTGAAAAATACAAGGATAAACGAATAATTACTTACTTGCGGCTTGATCTTCAACGTCGTCGCCTGCAGTATTGTGGTCCTTGGGATGATGCTCTATACATTTCAAGAGAAACTTAAAGGTCTCGATCTCGCAAGGAATGGTGAGCCCGCCGCTATGGTCGAACCCAAACTCCTCCTCGGCCTTCTCCAGCAGCACCTTGAACAAGGAGTGGCTCAGGTATGCCGTCGGAATGATAAACCTCCGAAGCTCCGGCCCGACGTAGACCGCCAGGTAACCCTTGGGAACGTCCGAAGGCGGCTCGTCATGAGGGCTAGGGCAACCTCCTCCTCCTCCACCTTCCTCGTCGGAGTCACCGTTCCTGATGATGCTCGCCACTCTGTTGTTGATCGCCGGGGCGATCCCGCGGCCGTTGGATCTCGACGAGCCGCCGAGCGTGACGGTCTGCCACTTGTGGAGGATCTCCCTCAGCCTAACGATCTGGCGGATCCCGGTCAGCTTGGTGTTGTTGCCATTGATGTGGCCGTCCATCTCTGGAAAATAATTCAAGTTCGAAAGGAGCTCCAAGATATTGATTTTCAGAGTGTTTGCATTCTTCTTGAGCTTCTAGATCTCGTCGGGTTTATTCCTCCACTGCCATCTACGTACCGTAGCAACCAATCAATCAATCGGACGTGCATGGAGATCAAGCCAACCAATATCACAAAGAATAGGATTGGAAGTGGCAAAAGCTAAGTTCAAAGACGGATCAATTTTGAAATCCATGTAAAATTCGTAACAAATTTGAAAATGGAGTTGTGGATAACCCGTCCTCTCAATTACAACGGTTCAAATCAATTTATCCTTATTCAATTTTCTTGCCTCCTCGATCACTGACTTGATAAGTTGATAAAGTTTAAAAGCAAACTTAACTATTCTAGTCTCTAGATTATAAGATTTATGAAATTGAATCTGATAGGGTTACAATTGCACCATTATTGACAAAGAAAAAAAAATCTACAAGAAAATGAATCAAATCCCACGTCCAAAGTGAAAATCAAGAGAGCAAGAAAAGGAAAAGGGACGAATCCCCGATTCTCATTAGAGGCATATAGAGAATAGATAGATTGTGTCCCAAATCATGCAAACGGCTAAAAGTTGTTGGTTTGAGTATCAAGGCGTAACGTACCTGTAACAACCCAGAAGAGCTGACAGATGACGTAGAGACGAGTGACGTGGAAAGGGATCAAGCATATAAATAGAAGAAGTCAATTGTGTTTAGGCATTCTGGATCATTCTGTTATCTGTAACTACTTTACCAACATTAGTTAGCTATCAATACACGACTCTCTCTATTTCCCTTCCAATTCCCTCTTTTCCTCCTTTCGCCAGATTCCGCCATAGACGATCCTTACAAGTGGTATCAGAACCTGCAATCTGGCAATGGCTTCTCACACTTCGCGTATTGTCGATTTGGAGACGCAGATGGCGTCTGTTCAGCTTCAATTGGAGTCACAGCATCAGGACCTGAAGGCCGCCATTGCGGAGCTGGCTGCTTCGACGAAGGATAGCATTGAAGCCTTGACGGCGTCCTTCGGCCGCAATCGCGAAAAGTCTCCGATTAGATCTCCGCCGCACTCCCAAGCTCCGTTCGCCGATCAGCAGCACTTTCGGCATCCACAGCGTCGGCCGTCGATTTTGGATCATTACCCTCGCCTGGAGTTCTCGTATTTCTCGGGGACAGATCCTCATGTGTGGGTGAGCAAATGTACCAAGCTTTTTCATCTCTATGCGATTCCGGAGGAGCAGAAGGTCGATCTGGTCTCGTATTACTTGGAAGGACGGGCATATACATGGTTTGAAGGCTGGTCTTTTCGCCGGTTTCCGTTGGTGTGGGGTCATTTCGTCGACGAGCTTCTTCATCGGTTTGGGAATCGGGAGCAGCTGAATGTGGTGGCGGCGTTCAATAAACTTCGCCAGACGTCCTCCGTCGGCCGTTATCAGGAGGAGTTCGAGGATCTCCGTTCCCGGTTGCTCCGATTGAATCCCGAACTCAACGAACACTACTTTATCTTGAGTTTTTTGGGAGGTTTGGATGAGGAGATCCAACCTCGTGTTCAGCTGCTGAATCCGCCGACCTTGGCGTGTGCTTTCTACCAAGCACGATTGGAAGAATCTGCCATTGACGCTCGGAAGAAGAAGACGCGCGCGGCACCTCCCGGTCGTTGGACAGCTTCTCCTTCGTCCTCTTCGGGCAGTCCTTTCCAGCGTGAAGCCTCCCTTCCTTCTCCGTCGTCAGTTGACCGGAGCCCTGTTCCGCGTGGGCAGGGTCTTTGCTACAAATGTGGAGATAAGTATTTTCATGGCCATACCTGTGCTCGCAAGAAGCAGCTTCAGATGATGCAAGCCGAGGCGCCGTCCCTGACCAGTGAAGAAGGGGAGATCGACGAGGATTTCCAAGACGCTGAGCTCGAAGTCTCGTTACAATCCATGGGGTCTGGTTTTGCAGGCAATTCTCTGCTTATTCCAGCCACATCTGGCAGGCGTGAGGTAACTGTTCTCATCGACACTGGAAGCTCCCATACCTTCCTTAATTCATCTAAGGTTGTCGAACTTAGTTGTAAGCCAGAGCACATAGCTCCTATGAGGGTAAAGGTAGCGAGTGGACATACTTTGCTTAGTGATTCTGTGTGTAAGGGTTTTTGCTGGAAAATGCAAGGTCAGGACTTTGCTTTTGATGTCAGAACCTTAGACCTCCCTGCTCATGATCTGGTGTTAGGCTGGGACTGGCTAGAAACCATCAGTCCCTTCCAAGTAGACTTGAAGAAGAGGCAACTATCATTTGATTGGCATGGACGGAATCTGACTCTCCAAGGATTGACTAATGAAGGTCACTGCAAGCTGATTTCTGGACGCAATTTGCAGCAGTTGATTAGGAAGCCCGATTCTCATATACTGGGGGCAGTGTTTTCCATAGAAGCTCACACTCCTCCTGCCCCTACTCCTACCTTCCTCCAACCCCTCCTCTCTCAATATTCAGACATTTTTGACACTCCTACGTCACTGCCACCCTCTCGTCCTTTTGATCACTCCATTCCTTTACTTCCTAACACCAAACCCATCAACATCCGCCCTTACCGCTTTCCCCATCATCAAAAAGAGGTGGCTGAGAAGTTAGTTGCTGAAATGCTTAAGTCAGAGTTCATCCAAGGAAGTCATAGTCCATATGCTTCACCCGTGCTTCTTATTGGGAAAAAGGATGGGACATGGAGGTTTTGTGTGGATTACAGGGAATTAAATGCAGCAACGATAAAAGACAAGTTTCCAATCCCTCATATTGAAGACCTACTGGATGAGCTGCAGGGGGCTGTGTTGTTTTCTAAGCTGGATCTTCGAGCAGGTTACCATCAGGTGCGGATGCACCCTGCTGACCAGTTCAAGACAGCTTTTCGAACACACCAAGGCCATTACGAGTTTAGAGTTATGCCCTTTGGGTTGACTAACGCACCTGCCACCTTTCAAGCTTTGATGAATCATGTTTTCGGGCCATATCTGCGGAAGTTCATCTTAGTTTTTTTCGATGATATCTTGATATACAGCAAGTCAGAGTCAGAACATTTGGTTCACCTCGAGATTGCTTTACAGCTTCTCCGCAAACATCACTTGTTTGCCAAGGCTTCCAAGTGCTCGTTCGGGCAGCCTACTGTTGAGTACTTGGGACACGTTATTAGTAAAGAGGGGGTTTCCACTGATAGTAACAAAGTGGCAGCAATGCAGTCTTGGCCTCGACCCACTTCAGTGAAGGGTTTGAGAGGTTTCTTGGGACTTACTGGCTATTATCGGAAGTTTATTAAACACTATGGCACCATCAGTCGTCCACTTACCGAGTTGTTAAAGAAAAATGGTTTTCTTTGGTCCTCAACAGCTGAAGAAGCCTTCTTAACCCTCAAGGCAGCTATGAGCCAAGCCCCAGTTCTCGGTCTTCCTAACTTTACACAGTCCTTCACTCTGGAAACTGATGCCAGTGGTTCGGGTGTGGGGGCTGTTCTTTCCCAAGGGGGCAGACCTCTTGCATTCTTCAGCAAGGCCCTTAGTCTCAGGAATCAAGGGCTCAGTACTTACGAAAAAGAATATTTGGCTGTCTTGTTAGCTGTGGACCATTGGCGACATTACTTAGAAGGGCGCCAGTTTACAATTGTTACAGATCATGAGAGCTTGAAGTTCTTATTGGGGCAGAAAGTTCATACAGCTATTCAGAAAAAAGGCTTGGTTAAGCTGTTGGGTCTGGATTTTCAGATCAAGTACAGGAAGGGTAGATACAATGGGGCTGCGGATGCCCTCTCACGCGTGTTTGATGACCAGCTTGAAGGCAGTTCTTGCAATGCTTTGACTTCTGTTCTACCAGAGTGGTTGGTGGAGATTGAGCAGTCCTATGCTCAAGACGCCGAGGTGACGGATTGGATAGCAGCTGCAGCAGTAAACACAACAGGGCCTTCTTTGTGGTCTTACTCGGAGGGTATACTTCGTTATAGGGGTGCCATAGTGGTGGGTTCGACAGGGTACTTGCGCACTAAGCTCCTTCAGCTCTTCCATTCTTCCCCTGTGGGTGGTCATTCAGGGGCACAGGGTACTTACCAGCGCCTCAAATCGTGCTTTTATTGGCGAGGGATGAAAACAGCTGTCACTCAATGGGTTTCACAGTGTGCAGTCTGTCAACGTTGTAAAGCGGAGACAGTGGCATCCCCTGGGTTTCTCCAGCCACTTCCCATTCCTACTCGTGCTTGGAAAGACATTAGCATGGACTTTGTTGAAGGTCTTCCCATGTCCAAAGGCAAGCAGGTACTCTTGGTAGTGGTGGACAGATTTACGAAGTCAGCTCATTTCTTTGCTCTCTCTCATCCATACACAGCGGCAGAAGTGGCTCTTACCTTCTTCGATGGTGTTTTCAGACTCCATGGCATGCCTTCTACGATTGTATGCGACCGCGATTCCACTTTTACTAGCATGTTTTGGACCGAGTTTTTCCGCCTTCAGCATACAGACATTCATTACTCCACAGCGTACCACCCCCAAACTGATGGACAGACAGAAAGGGTTAATCGCTGTTTGGAGGACTATCTCCGCTGCATGACTTTCCATCGCCCTCAGGATTGGGTGGACTGGTTGACTTTGGCAGAATGGTGCTACAACACCCACTTCCACATCAGTCTGCAGATGTCTCCCTTCGAGGCTCTTTACGGGTTTCCTCCTTCTTTCTTTGGTTTGGGAGCTGTTTTACCAACACCGGTGGGAGCCGTGGAAGACAGAGTCAGCAAGCAGCATCTGATGACTCAACTGCTCACCTACAACATCACGAAAGCCCAGAACAGGCAGAAGCAGTACGCTGATCGGCGGAGGTCTGAACGAGTACTTCAGGTGGGAGATTGGGCATATCTGCGTTTGCAACCTTACCGACAGGGCTCAGTGGTGGGGAGACAAGGAAACAAGTTGGATGCGAGGTATTTTGGACCGTATAAGGTGCTTGCGAAGATTGGTGCAGTGGCCTACAAATTATCTTTGCCTGCTGCCTCGAAGATTCACCCTGTATTCCACGTGTCCCAGCTCAAGCTTTGTCGGACTGTGGTTCCACCAGCAGCGACGCAGCTTCCTGATGCTGATCAAAACGGGTCCTTGAAGTTGGCACCGACTCAAATACTGGCCAGGCGTTTCATACAACAAGACAATCAAGCTGTAACCCAGGTATTAGTCCACTGGACTCACCAACTGCCCGAAGATGCAACTTGGGAAGATTTGGGCAGCTTCAGACAGAGTTTTCCTGCGTTTCCAGCTTGAGGACAAGCTGCTCTTGAAGGGAAGGGGTTTGTAACAACCCAGAAGAGCTGACAGATGACGTAGAGACGAGTGACGTGGAAAGGGATCAAGCATATAAATAGAAGAAGTCAATTGTGTTTAGGCATTCTGGATCATTCTGTTATCTGTAACTACTTTACCAACATTAGTTAGCTATCAATACACGACTCTCTCTATTTCCCTTCCAATTCCCTCTTTTCCTCCTTTCGCCAGATTCCGCCATAGACGATCCTTACAGTACCAGCTGCCGAGCAGGGAAGGGATGGAGACGGTGGAATCGGCTAATTGCTTTGAACGCATAAGAGGAGATCCATCGGGTTTTGAAGGTGGCGGCGGTGGTGGTGAAAAGGGCGAGGAGGGCCGGAAACAACCAGAGCGGCGGGCTTTCTTTGGGAGAATAAACTAGGGTTAGAAAGAAGAAATGATTTTTCTTTTTTCCTTTTTACTTTTGTGTGTGGGGTAAAATAGATAAAAAGAGAATGAAAGAAGATAATAATAATAATAATAATAATAATAATAATAATAATAATAATAATGTAATTTTTACTCTTCTGTCTTCTCCCTCTATTTATTTGGTGGATTACTAATGAAACTAGTTTGATCACTTGTCACCATTGGACAATAGATTATTTGTCTCGCCCTCCACAGCTTGAGATTGAGTTTAATTGGAGTAAATCACCAAAATGAGTCGAATCAAGGAGATCATCAATGTATTTATTCTGACGGAGAAGAATACTAGCCTTAGATCGTTGTAATTTAAGACTCAACAAGTAAGAGAGCGCACCAAGTTCTTTCAATGTAAAGGACGCGTGCAACCCTTGAGCAAGAGCCTTAATCCCGGCCGCATCATCACCACTAACAATCTTGTCATCAACACAGAGAGAGCTCCATAAGATCGCACGAGGAGCGGTGGGCAGGCATGGAGGCCGATAATTAAGACTCTGCCGAAAAGCCAAGCCCAAGACAATAGACTGGAACTTGTCTAACCAAGCACGCGGTGCCTGCTTGAGATTATAAAGAGAACGCTTAAGCAAACAGACCTTGTTAGAGGAGCCATGAGAGTAACCACGCGGAAGCTCCATATAGACAGTTTCCTTGAAATCACCATGTAAAAAGTTGTTCTTCACATCAAGCTGATAAAGGGGTCACTAACGAAGTAAAGCTACAACAAGAAGAGAACTGACAAAGACCATTTCAGCAACATGAGCAAATGTCTCTTCAAAATCAACACCATATTCTTGACTGAATCCTTGGGCAACTACAAAAGCCTTATAGCGATCTAGGGAACCATCATGCTTAAACTTAATGATAAACACCCAACGAGAATCCACAACTAGAGAAGGACTAGGAACGACAAGTAAATTCTGATTGGTGTGATGAACATCGATCTCTTCAGTCATCGCACATTCCCAATTCGGATTCCCCTTGGCTTGGGAGTAGCCAGTGGGGATGAGAATGGGATAAACCCTGTAGGTAACATAATCTTGATGCAACTTAAGTGGCATATCCAACATGGATTGCAGGGAGCAACTCATAGGAACATTAGGTGGTGGTGTAGAAGGAGAGACAAGTGGGGAGTTACGGGGTAGCTGGTTGAGATCAATAGAGCATCATCATCATTATCACAAAAGGAAGGAAGACCCAAAAACATATCAAAGAGGGGAACATTCGAAGAAAACAAGAGTAAGACATAAGATTCTCCATGAAGACAAAATTACATGCTATACGAAGATACTTAAGAACATGACCGAAGCAAAGATAGCCCTTATAAATTTCGCTATATACAAGAAAATCACAACGAAAGGTTTTAGAAAAAAGTTTGGTACGTCCAGAACGAGGAGAAATTTTACAATGCTATATAGTATTGGTGCTATAGATTTTTGCCTTTATGGTACAACTTAAAATTGTACATTTACGTTATGGTACAACTTCAGATTGTACCTATATGACTCACTTCTACTGTCACTCTAGGAATTGGCCAAGTGAAACCACTTCCTAAAGCGTAGTATATCGGGTTTGGGTTTAAATGTCAACCCGGGTCCTAGATTTGATGACTACTCGGTGAATTCTTGTTATCTAGCAATGAAACTTTAATGCAAGTCTAAACTAACAAAAATAATAAAGCAAGTAAACTGTTGTATTCAGGTTAAGAGAGGTCACCCGGATATGGTTCCCCCTAGACTGCAGTTAAGCCGGATTGCAATTACCAAGTTCAGTTTCTATGATGGTTAGACTGCGGAAGGTTCTTAAACAGCCTGAAGTCTCGACTAAAGGTCTTCAGACCCTCTCAATCTGAGTCTCTAGCGGGCGACTAACCTCCACCGGAGTAAACAGATTGAGGCCCTAACGAACAAAACCTCCAGTACCGAAGTGAATCCGGTACAGAATAGCGAGTTGGCTCCTCGACTAAAGTCACCAACTCCCTACCTTCAATCAAGGATGCTCTATCAACCTAGGCAGATATTCTCATTCTAGGTTAAAGCAGAAACAACAGGAATTTGATCAGGATTCATGCCATTCAATCATTCAAACCTCAATTGAATATAATCAAATCATAGAATCAGTACTTGGGTTCATACAATCAAACCTAACATACAAATCTAGGGTTCTCCATACCCAGATGAATGGGAGAACTACTCCATGGAGAAAGAAGCAAAAGCAGAATCAGACGCGAAATTCATACTGTGAAGGATGGATTCCTGCTCCTGGACGTTGATCGGCACTTCTCCAAGCTCAAACTGGCCTCCAATGGTGATGAAGATCAAGCTAGGGCACTTGGAGACTCTTGTTCGTCGCTTTCTCTCTCTAGGAATCGCTCTGTCTCTCTAAAACTTGAATCCCTTGATTTTCAGCCTTCTTTTCCCTTAAAACAGCTGCCTGTCGCGATACCCGGTCGGGTATTTTGGGTCACGACCGGATATAGTTAAAACACACGTTTTGGCCAGGGGAAAAATACCCGGTCTCATCCAATAATCCCGGGTCGGGGATTTCTGCCTTCCAGACCGGGACCCCCCCTGTTTCTCAGACGCCAAAATGGAAAATCCCCGGTCTCCTCAGAATAATACCCGGCCGGGTATTTGTGGTCATGGCCGGGTATTTTCTTCCTCCAGCCCGCTTCAAGCCTCACTTGCTCCTTTCGACCCGAATCTCGTTCCTTCGCCTCGATTCCAACGCCGGGTCCTGAAATACGACATAAACACACAACCTCGCGTGAAATCGGCTTAAAACCCAAGAGTCAACCTCTCAAACGGCTCAAGAATAGGGGCGAAAATATGTGTAATTATCGGTCTATCAAACTCCCCCACACTTAACCGTTTGCTTGTCCCCAAGCAAACCTAACTCAAACCAATGCAACTCTCCAGACCTCTATAGCAACAAACAACCCAGATCGTAGGTAGAGGACTTCCTAGATCATTTAGCAGCTTACGAGGTCAACCGACGCACGAGTCATCTCATAGCTTCCTCGGCGAGAGCACTAGTATCGAGTCGGCATCATGGCAAATAGTGAACAGAGGACAAATGAATCGTGGATGAAGAGATTCTCAAATACAAAGGATCATGGACTCACATTTTTCAAGGTGCTCTATTTTCTTCTTAAAGATGGTTGGAACCCCTTTTCTTCCTGTTTTGCTTGTTTTCTGTTATTTTTTTTTTCAAGGGTCCCAACCTGCTTTTCAGAAAACGAGGGCTCCCACCTAGCAGAGGTTTTGCGGGAGCCCGGCTCTTACCGGCCATGCCAGGAGCGGATGTCTCGAGCCTCGTGCGGGGGAAAACATGCAAGGGGGCTGGAGGTAGTAGGTGGAAATTGGGAACGAATTCCCGTCTCCCCTTACACACTTTCGCCCTATTCGCACGGGAGACGTTATTTCAAAGCACATTTCCGAGCACCTGTTATTTTCAAAATATGATACAAGAGTCCATGACAGGTAGAGAGTCCACAACACCACACAATTCAAGGGTCCTAAGATCACTAATTCACTCAATCAACCTACACAATATGAAGAAGAAATGAGACTTCTTAAATGCATCAACATCCTCCATAGTGCTACACTACCTCCCTAGGTTGCATATTACTATAAAGACTGTCAATTCAAAGCATACTGAGCAGGCAATTGCAAGGAACACGTACTTGGAGCCCTCAAATTTAAAAATTTGGACAGTGGACTAGGCTCCAAGCACACAAACAGATCTAATGCAGTCAAAAGATAAACATCCCCCCACACTTAAGATCGACATTGCCCTCAATGGAGAAGAGGGAAGGAAAAGGGGAACGATGTTACCGGTATACACGGACTACAGGAGACTGGAAGCGGACCAGTCGGAGTGAAGCGGACTGGATAGAGAACCAGTCAAGACAAGCACAGCTAAAGGAAACCAAAGAGCTCAAACACAATATGTCAGGTCTAACGGTCAGCCCAATAGTACATCATCCAAAACAAAAGAAAACAAACCAAAACCAAACTGGTTTACAATCCGACTCAAAACACAAGAAAGAAAGTCAAACCGTGGTGGGGTTGCCTCCCCACAAGCGCTTCTTTACCGTCTTTTAGCTGGACGCCCATGGTGGATACTCAGGGAGGTGCAGGAACAGGTGCCTCCAAGAGCGGATCCACGTCGCTCTTGAGGTACAGCTTCAGGTTGTGGCCATGCACCCGACGGATGCGTCCACCATCATCGGTCAGCTCGACCTGGCCATCCGGTAAGATGCAGGCGAGTGAGTACCCGGACGGCCAGGGTGGTCGTGGTGCAGGAGGTGGGACCAGCTCATAGTGGTCTCCACTCTTCTTCCGTGCACGCTTAGCAACCTGCTGCTTCGGCCGCCACTCCTCCTTGATCTTTTTGTTCGGAGGTGAGCCTGGATGGAGTGGCGGTGAAGGACTGATAGGAGGGTCCTACAAAATGAGAGGTGCAGAAGGATACATGACAGGCTCGTGTACCTTATCAGAAATGGCATGCACAGGTGTGACAGCAATCATAGCACAGTGATCGAATTCAGTCACAGAAAAAGTAGCCTGTTCATTCCCAGCACGCAGGATCAGTTTACCATCATGCACATCAATAAGTGTCTTGGCGGTGGCAAGAAATGGTCTCCCCAGAATCAAGGGCACATCCACATCCTCATGTATATCAAGAATAACAAAATCAACAGGATATGTGAATGCACCGACACTGACAAGCAGATCCTCTATGATTCCCCTAGGATGTACAATGGAACGATCAGCTAGCTGAATGCTCATCCTAGTAGGGCTAAGTTCACCTAGGTCTAGCTTTTTATACAACTTATATGGAATGACATTTATGCTAGCGCCTAGGTCCGCCAAGGACTTGCCTACATGCATGCTGCCAATAGTAAGAGGGATAGTAAAACTCCCTGGATCCTTGCGCTTTTCGGGCAGCTTGTTCTACAGGATAGCAGAACACTCCTCACTGAGCATCATTGTCGAAAGATCCCCAAGTTTCTTCTTGTTGGTGAGGAGATCTTTCATGAACTTCGCGTACTTGGGCATCTTCGACAGTGCCTCCACAAACGGTATGCTGATGTTGAGCTGCTTCAACATTGCCATAAAATTGGCAAACTCAGTCTCCAACTTGTCTTTGTGTAGGCGAGTGGGGAAGGGAAGCTGAGGTACATGCTCCTTAACCACTGGTTGTGGCTTGGGAGCAGGGGCTTCCTTCTCCACCCGCACTTCTGCATCGTCGGCTGGAAGTGCTGAAGCAGGTAGTGGTTCCTCCTGTCTGGCCGGGACAGGATCAGCAGAAATGGTCTTACCTCTCATGGTAAAAATGGCATCCAGCTGCTAATGCTAGTGAGGATCACGAGGATTCAGAATAGTGGTGGCAGGCAGAGTCCCCGGTGCCCTGGTAGTGTTTTGGCGGGCCAAGATACCCACCTGGTGCTGCAGATCTTGCAAAATGGCACCTTGGTTCCTCTGACCTGCCTCTAGTGAGGCTACGCTCTAGTCCAACCTCGTGATAGTTGCCTGAGTGCTAGTCATGAATGAAGCTAGAATATTTTCCAGCTTTGTCATCCGGTCATCTGGGGCAGGAGCTGCTGCTGGCTCGGCAAATTGGCGCTGGGGATGTTGGAATGGTTGCCCCTGCCTAGGCTAGTAGGGCTGCTGCTGTGAGGTTGGCCCCTGTCGAGCCTGGAAGGGCTGCCTCTGCTGAAAGCCACCAGCTGGTGCTGGGAAACCAGGTGGCTTAGTGGTGTTGCTGCTCCAGGCGAAATTGGGATACTGGCACCACCCCTCATTATATGTGTTGCTGTACAGGTCGAGGCACCGAGCATTGGCGATGAAGTCCAATTTCTCTTGGGGAGTAATAGACTCCCTCATAGCCTGGCAGTCTTCCACTAAGTGATTTGAGCTCTCACACCACTGACATTGAGCTACTGGAGGTGTAGCCAAACCTCTGTCCGGAATAAGACTGTTGGGTTGCTTCAATGTCTGCACCAACTCAGCTACCTGTTGCTCGAGCCCGGATCTAGTCTCCATAGCGTGCACACCACGGTCCCGGGAATGTCTACCTCTGCTGCTCTGCCCCCAGGAATGATCGCTGGCAGCCAAGGTGTTGATCATCTGGTTCAGTTCTGGTGGAGTCTTGGTAAGAATATCCCCTTCTGGGCATAGAGACTCAATCACCCGCTGGCTGTCCGGAGAGAGAGCACTGTAGAAGTTCCCCACTGTGAATGCATCACTGAAGCCATGATGGGGACACTGCCAGAATTATCCCATGTACCGCTCCCATGCATCACGAAGTGACTCATCTGGCTCTTGGCGGAAGTGAGTGATCTCCCGCTGGATCTCTATAGTCTTCGATGTCGG